GATCCCCTTGTCCCTGCCCAAACCGGAACTCCATTGGACCCCCTTCAGATAGGCCTCAGGCAGGGGACAGACCCAGCCAGGTACTAAGGCTTCAGGCTCCCCGGGGGAGGGGCTGCTGGGCCGAAGGCAAGCTCGGGCCCCCTCCCCCGGCCGGGCTGCCTCCCAAGCGGGCATGTTCCAGTTCCAGGACTGGCGCCCGCCTCCCCAGCTCCAGACATGTGACTCAGCCCGGGCGGCCCTGCCAAACCGTCTAGACCCGAGAGTCTCCCCGAGGAGGGGCGATCCCGCCGCTGTTTCCTCCACTGACGGCCACACCAAGCAGTGTCGCCTGCAGCGTGGCAGACGAGGAGTGCCAGCTTGAGTGGTGGTGGGGGGACATGTGCTGCCCTGAACACAAAAGCCCCCAGGGGCCCAGCACACCCTGCATTGGTAGAGCCTGGGGCAAGGGGACAAATGAAGACCTTAGCAATTGTCTCTCCCTGGCCCTATGGCTGTTCCCACGCCCAGGCCATGGGTACCAGGTGCTCCCCAGGGCCCACGCCACCCACGAAGCCAAGCTCTGTCCACACCCAGCAAGGGCTGGCTAGACCCTGAGGGGATCGAACTCAGGAACTTGAGAGGCAGGCGCCGGAACCACTGAGCTAAATCCCCGGCCCTGCCCAGTATGCTCTTGCAGGGCCTTGTGGCCAGTAGAGGTGGTGATGGCGGCACCTCTTCGGCTCTGGGCACCCCTCAACTGCAGGGAGTGAGGTCACTGGGGCCCTAAGGCAGGAGGGCCGTGGGGTACAGGGGTGACCCTGCCTTGGGCTCCCCCTGGGGGGTGTCCTTGCCCAGCACAGGGATGGAATGACAGGAAGAGGCCGGGGGCAGTGTCCCCATCCTCAAGTACCAGTAGCCTCCCAGGTGCACACAGTCAGCTCCTGGGTCGGCGGCCTCAGCCATCTGGAGCTGGGCCTGGGGCCACCAGACGCCCCCAAGCCCACAGCCGTGGCAAGCCCACATCTGTGAGTCCCACAGCAGCCGCAGGGTAGGTGAGGGACAGTCACAGGACAGAAAGTCAGTGTCAGTGTGCAGTCCCTGCAGCCTCTAGGCACTTTCTGGTCTTGTTTGCAAGCTCTGCCCTCTTCATGTTCATCCATCTGCATGAAGAGGGAGCCAAGGAGGGGGAAGGAGTAGGAGGCCCCGGAGGGACCAGAGGAGGGAAGAAGAGAGTGAGGAAGGAAGAGGAGGGGCTTGGGGAGAGGCCCGAACTCAGGGCACTGTCAGCTGGACCTCAGTTGTCTGCCTCATTTCCTCCCCATAGCCAGTGCTGAGCTTCCTACCCCACGTCAGGGCTCATTTCTAGCTGTCCCCCACTGCCTCATCAGATCATGGGCTGGGCCTGTGGAAGATGGTTGGATCACCAGGCTCATAGCTGGCTGGGAGGCGGGGCCTGGTCGGAAGAGGTGTTCTCCAAGGCGTGGTCCGGAAGGGTTTATCTCCATCCAGCAGCTCCTCCCTGGGCTCTCTGCTTCCTTGCTGCCATGCCAGGGCCCTCTGCTGCACTGTGCTGCCTTGCGGCTCACCGACTATGGGCTGAACATGAGCCAAAATAGGCCTCTCCTTCCGTAAACTTTGAGTGTCAGGTATTGTGTCACATCTATGAGAAAGTGACTAAGACACCACATAATTGAATTCTCCCTCTGAAACCTCTCTCAAACGCATCCACGCATACATGCACGCACTTTCTTCCATTTGCCTTTTCTTCAAAAGCCTGCATTTGGTGCTTCCTGCCATTACTGGGGAGCTTCCGGGCTGAGGAACATGGGATGGAGCAAGGCCTCCTGGGGCTTCAGCTCCACCACTCTGGGTCCCCTCTGCACGGGGTAAGATACATGCAGTAGAAGCTGGACCCCTTGGACTTTGGCTTCCTCTGATCAGTGTTGTCCACCCAGGAACCTTGGCTATGATTCCTGCTGCAGCCTGGGGTCTGCTGCATAAGGCAAGCAGGAGTGCTCTGTGACTTTCTCTTTCTCCTGGTGCCCTGCAAGGTCCTGTGGCAGCCCCCTGCTGTAAGGCAGGGTGACAACTCTGTGAGTCCAACTGCATGGCCGTACATTTCTGAGCCTGTCACACAGACTGAGGGGCCTCACATGCCTCCACCACCCGCCAGCCCATCCCTGGCACTGTGGGGCCCGTGCCTGTCATGCTCTCATTTTCCAGCTCATTTGCCAAGTTCTGACACGTGGCTATGGCCCTGCTGGGACCCGTGGCCAAGTTTCCCCCATGATCAGAAGGTTGGCTCATGCTGCATGTGATGCCCAGTTTGGCCCAAGGCCCCAGTCTTCCCCTCCAATGCCTCCTGCAAGTTGAAGGGTCCTTCAGCCCCAGTTTGTGGCTCTTGACTCTCCCCCAGGCCTCCTTTACACTCTCAGCGCAGGAATGCCCCTTAGCGATCTGCCCACTCCCTCCGGCACTGTAGAGACCCAGCCCTCCACATCCCTACCTGCTTCCCTGGGCTCGCACACCTACCACGATGGGGAGCTCCCTCCCACTTCAGGCAGCCAGCTGGTGCTTAGACAGTGCTTTCTGGGAGAAGTGCTTCCTTGTGTTGAGCTTGAGTCTATGTTTCCAGTAGCTTCTACCACTGGGCCTCTGGGTTTCCCCTCCCTGAGAGGCCCATTGTCCTCTGCATCCCACCCTAGCCTCCAGACTTTCCAGTGGACGGTGCCTGGGAGGTGCCAGGACCCTGGGCGTTCGGGGAGGGAGGCTACAGCCTGCCACCAGTCTTCAGCAGCCGTCACAAGAGCTGGGGGCATGACCTCCACGACCTATCCAGAAGGTGTTTGCCCCTCTCGACCCCGCTAGTCCCTCTGTGCCCCACCCCGTGCCATAGACAGAGCTGCTGAGTTAGGGGAAAGAGTGCTCAGTGTACCGGTTCCTTGGAGCTGGGTGGAGAAGCGGAATTTTCTTCCAGAATACACAGTGGCTGGCTTCTTCCCCATCCTCAGGAAAAGATTGGGGGGGGGTGCACGACAGCCACACTGCTGTGATTTCTCCCGCCAAATTCCCTAGTCCTAGGAAAGATCCACAAAAAACCCCACAAGAATTTGAATGTCAGAGCTGGGGCTGTGACTGAAATGAAATTTTCTGCAAAGAAAAGAAGAAAAACAAGAGAGAGTAAAAACAAAACCCCAGCAGTAATCCAAAGTGCTTTCAGCCTTTTTCTTCCAGCAGGGCCCGAGGCGGCCACCGCAGGAGGGTAGAAAGGGGGCCTTCCTCTCCCTAGCTCCCTTTAGCTCAACTTTGGAGGCTCCATGACCTCAATAGAGACTGAAATTCCAAACCTTTCAATGGGGAGCCGGGCCCTGCCCCTCCAGCTGGGCCTGTGTCAGGGCCCCGAGGCCTGGCCGAGGTCCCTTCCTGTTAGCCCCGGACTCCTGCCCACGCCCGCCTCCCAGGTCCCAGCAGAGCGCTCTGTCAACTGGATGACCATGGCTGCTCGTCGCCTCTAGGAGGTAGTGGGCAGAGGGACAGGGACAGGCCTCTTCTAGCTCCTTCCTGCCTTGTCCAGTCAGCGGGGCCTAGGGTTGGGGGCTTTGGAGTTGGGGGAGACCAGGAGCCACAGGGCCATCGGCGGCCAGGGCTGGGACGGGGGCAGGGGTGGGGGACAGGGTCTAGCGTGACAGCAGTGAACATTTACTGGTGCTTTTCACCTGCCAGCACCGTCCAGGGAGGCTCTCACTGTCCCCAGGGCCACAGAGAGTTAGGGAGCTGGTCCCGCGTTACACAACTGAAGTTCCTTCCAAGCGCAGCTGATCCAGGGAGAGACTCTCCTCGCTGGGAGGTGGGTCAGGCAGGAGCGCCCCCTCCCGGAGGAGCCTCGCTTCTCGACGTCTTGCTCCCCGGTCGCCGGTAGGGGCACCGCCAGCGCGGCGGGTGACGGAGAACCCGCCCCGTGGCGACCGCTTCCCCGCCTCCAGTCCCGCGCCTCCCGCGGCCGACAGCCCTCTGGGTGGGGCCGAGGCGCGTGCGCAGGCCGCCGGCCCAGGCGCTGTCCAATCGGAAGGTACAGTGGGCCAGGGGGTGGGCCGCGGCCGCCTTGGTAGCCCAGTCCCGCCGGCCGCGCGGCTGCAAGGGGGAAGGAGAGAGCGCGAAGCTGGCGCGTGATTGGCAGGTGGGCCAGTGAGGACCGGGGCTGGGCGGGGCTCAGCCCCAAGCGGGAAAGATCAGCCCCAAGCGGGAAAGATGGCCGAGGTGAGTGCTGTCTTCGCTCTGGGCTCCGGTGGCGACTCCTGGGAAGACGAGGGTGACAACCGTGTGTGCAAAGCGGCCTTGGAGGTGTTCGGGAAGCTGAAGGTGCCGTGGGCTGAGGGAGCCACCCAGAGGGCTGGGGTGCGAGCAGGGCCCTGTCAGAGACACGCACGGGCTCGCTGCCCAAGCCGGCGACTCCACACGGCCACTGTCCTGGGTCCGGCCGCTCCCTCTTGCCCTGCAGCAGGCGGCATCCGCCATCTCCCCTTCCCCTTACGCCCTCCCTCTTCCCCGCTGCCCCCGGGCTCGGTGGCCTCTCTGGCCCTCCTTCCCTTTCTGCTCACCTAGAGACCGGGTCTGAATCTCCTGAAGGCGCTGCTGCCACCAGAGCCCAGAGGGCTCCACTTAAAGGCAGGGAGGCAGCAGGCTGCAGGGCCTGTGGGGTGAAGATGAGGGACCTCTCAGCTTGGCAAGATGGAGGGAAAGCCAGAGGGATGCTGCGGCGGGCACCCTGCTCCGGCTGGCTGGCAGGAAATGTGTGCATGGGCAGGGGTCCCAGGCACACGCTGGCAGAGTGGCATTGCCGGCCTGCAGTGACTGGCTTCCTAATTAAGCTTCGGACTTTCCTTTTCTTCGCTTAGGACCTGAAGTGTCCCTTGCTGGAGGGTCTGTACATCACAGAACCAGACAGGATTCATGAGCTGCTGTGCATGCCCTCAAAGTACCGCTTGGAGATCCTGGAGTGGATGTGTACACGGTAACACCCGCAGCCCCCCGCCAGCCTAGAAGAGCAGCTGCTCAGTTAGAGATGCTGGCTGGGGGCGTGCAGGGCCAGTCCACCTACCAGGTGGCTCTTGTGGCAGTGGTTGTCAGCACCTGTGCCGTGACCCCGTTTTCCAGTGCTTCCGGTTGGGTTGGCAGAGTGTGTCCTGTCTGAATGTGTGTGCAGGAAGCAAAGCCTACACACGAGGCAAAGGGAGAGCTCCTGACGCCCTACCGGATGTCTGCTCTTTGGGAACAGCATGCCCCAAACTGAGCATCCCTGAGGTCTGAAGGCTGCCAGGAGCAGAGGGGCACCAGGGACCAGTTCCTCAGGCCTGAGCGCTTCCAGAAATCACAGTGGTCTTTCCCCTCCTGGGCAGTCAGCTTTCTTTTTTCTTGGGAGAAGGATTTTTTCAGCATTCACATTTCTGAAGTATTTTTCCCAAGTAATGGACAGAGATGAAAGGCACCTGACATGAAGTGAGCCATTTGAAAGTGACATTTGGTGGCATTTAGCACCTGCACAGTAAGCCCCTCTAGGTTGTGGTGGGGGCCTCTCTGGACCCCTCAGCCTCACGAGCTTTGCTGTTTCCCTGCAGGGTCTGTCCCTCCATGCAAGACAAGTTCAGCACACTGAAGGGGGCCCCGGTGGAGGCAAAGATCCAAGGTAGGCCTGGTGGCAGTATGTGACCTGGGCATGTTCTGGGCAGTCCTGAGCTCTGGCACAGCATTCCTGCCAAGCTGGGGTGCGCTTTCTGTTGGTGCTTTCTCCTGTGGCGGTACCCGCTGCGCATGTGCCTAGATGCTTCCAGTCAGGGTCTCCCCAGGTCCACAAGTTGGGGAGCTCTCCTAAGCACTGAGAGTATGCAGGTCCTCTGTGGTGCTGCGGGTGGGAATAGCCATTCCTGCAGGTGTCACCATGGTCTGTCTCTCTGCTGTGTGGATGTGCCGTCTACCTGTGGCATTCCTAGGAGAACTCTGACTGCTCTCCGCAGGGTTCATCTTGTAACTTTTTTTTTGATACCGGGGTTCAAACTCGGGTCCTTGCGCTTGTGGGGCAGGCGGCGGCACCACTGAGCTAAATCCCCAGCTCTTAAATCATTTCTTGATAGAAACTATCTTGAACCTGGTAATGAAAATTAGACAAAGGAGTCAGGCACAGTGGTGTACATCTGTTATCCCAAGTACTTGGGAGGCTGAGACAAGAGGATGGGAAGTTGCCAGCCTTGGCAACTGAGTGACTTAGCGAGATCCTATCTCAAAATAAAAAATAAAAGCAGGGCTGGGGATGTAGCTCAGTGCCAAGGCCCTGGATTCAATCTCAAGTGCTCAAAAAAGAAACAAAACAAAACAAAACAAAAGCAGTGGTTCCATTTGCTTTGGCCTTACAAGATCTCTGAGAGGCTGGCACCCCACCAGAAGTCCGAGTTGAAGTCCCATGTATGCCAGAGCATGGTGGGTGACCTGTGGTTTTCCAGCAAGGAAACCAAGGCCTGAAAAGGGGCAGTGATGGATGCAGGTCACACAGCAGTAGGCAGCCCTGGCACCGGGGCATGACTCCCACCTGCTTCCATGTGCACCAGCGCTTCCGTGCCCAGCCTGGCCCCTCAGCACTCTGCACATGGCCAGGGTTCTCTGTTTGGGTGGGTGTCTGGAGTAACAAGGTCTTTGTGCTCTGACAGAGATGGTGAAACTAGGTTATGAGCTGATGCTGTGTGCGCCTGATGACCAGGAGCTGGTTAAGGTAAGAGAGGGTCTTCGCCTAGCCTGACAGGGGCTGTGCATGCTTTCTGCCCTGGACCAGAATCTGGGGTGCTGGTGTGGGGATGGCGGGTTTTCTGCCCTGCTGCCTTTGAAGTTCCTGCCGCCTGGGCAGATCATTTCTCTAAGTAGCCTTGGGGAAGGGCCAGCTAGGCATCTCCCACATTGACAGACTTTGGCCATTCCTTGGGCTGGCAGGGAGGGCAGTGGTGGAGCAGGAGGCCCAGCTCTGGCTTTTGATGACCAAAGGAATGGAGAGCGTTCTGCCCTCCCTGGATGATATCACACTTGCCCAGCACTATGGTAGGTACTTTATGGACCACTCATCGTCGCACCCCCTTGGCAGTCTTAACCCATTTCACAGTGCTCACTAGAAGTCACGCAGTAGCCAGGCCAGGCCTCAAAGCTGAGCTCTGCAGCAGCGCTGTGCGTCACCTTTTGAAGGGTCACTGAACTCGTCTTCCAATGTGGCTGCACCCCATTTCTCTGGGGGGTCCATCCAGTGAGGGGTTTTGTTCTTTCAAATAATCTCAAATTTCAGAGCAGGTTTAGGTTCCCAGCAAATTTGAACCCCAAGTACTGAGATTTTCCACTTACTTCCTGCCTCCCATTAAGGGTGCCTCCCTTCCTGTGGGATTGTGCCCCCCGGGCTGCACATTTGTTACAACCCATCCAAGACACTGACACATCTTTTCTCCCAAGTCCCCCTCCAGCCAGTGTATAGTTGCTACCTGATTGTTACTTTCTTTTCTGTTTCTCTGCTGATTTTTTTTTTCTATTTTATCTTTTGTTCTGTGTTCATAGTTGCGAATTTGAGCATTTTTTGGAAGGCTGCTCTGAAATCCTTGTCACATCACTCCAACATCTGTGTGATCTTGTCCTTGGCATCTGTTGATGTCTCTTCCCATACAAGTTGCTTGTTCCGTGATTTTTTTTTCGTGCGCCAAGTAATTTGGGATTGCTTCCTGGACACTGGCTGTTTCTGGCTGGCTTGCGTGGAACATGGTGCTGAAGTATTCCTGGGGCCACTGAATCTGCTGTGGTTTCGGCAGCGAAGTCCAGTGCTCCTTGCCTGCCTGTGCTTCCCATGTGCGAGTTCAGCTTCTTCTGGGCCACCTGTGTGTACCACCCATGGTCAGCCTGGGACCTGGGCCATGGCCTCTCCATGCCTTAGTAACTGACTGGGGCGCTTGTGCCAGAATTGGATTGGGCCAAGTGGTCCTGGGGCTGATACCAGGCTGTCACAGGCAGATCCTTGGGGCTACCTTCCTGAGCTCTTTTTTCTCCGCTAGCTCTTTGACACTTTGTAGTTCCGTCCACCAGCCATACACCACGCACCTTCACGGCCTGGCTTCGTAGGCCCCCATGTGGAGAAGGGGTTCCCCTGAATTGGAGTTGGGCTCCTGTGGTTTTCTCTCCCTGGCTCCTTTTGTTGCTGCCCCCCACCCCCTCCAAGGCTCTGAGTGAACAGAGAAGAGGCCAGGCCAGGGGATTCCCCCCATTGTCTCTGCGCCTTCCAGGTTCTCCTCTCTATTCCCTGAAGCAGAACTGAACTAGAGAACCTGTCCTGGAGCTTTTTGTCTGTTCTGCAGTGCTGCCTTCTGGGCTTTTGCCTGGGCTGAGTTTGCTCAGGGAAAACTGGAAGGAGAAGTGTGGCAAGTGTCCTGCTGGGCTGAGCGAGTGCTAGGGGCTCTGGCGTGCTGGCCGCCTGCCTGTTGGCACTCGCTTTGCCCTGGGCCTTCTGTCCAGTTCTGGGAGTTGGGCTTCAGTGGGAGAAAAGGATGTGTCTTTCCTCTGCCCCACCTGCAGCTGGACCCTTTCCTTACTCTGTAGTCTTTTTATATTTTTTATTTTGGTGAAATGCATGTAATGTAAATTTTACCATTTCAACTCTTAAAAGTTTCCCATCAGGCTCCATTCTTTGATTTTTTAAATCATGATATGTACAGAAGGTAAAATTGACCATCTCTGCCATTTTAGCGTGGTCCAGTGGCATTGAGCACGTTCACACTGTGTTGCCATCACCACCGCCTGTCTCCAGGCAGAAACCATACTCTGTGCTTAACTCGTTTTAATGTCAATTCAGCGGCATTTAGTACGTTCCCAGTGCCGAGCAGTCGCTGATTGTAACTAGTTCCTGCCTCTCCCCGCAAAGGAGACCTTGTACCTGTCAAGTAGCTACTTCTACCTATTTCCCACAGGCCCTGATGGCCTTCCTTCATGGCCTGTCCCCGTGTCAACCCAGTGGTGTTCTGCACTCTGCAACATTGTGGGAAGGAGATAGATACAGATATCAGAGTGTTAGGTTTGCTCTGACTGTGTTGTCCCAGATTTTAGTCGGGAGTATCAGTGTGAGACTCATAACAGAAGAAACACACATTCCCTTGCCTAGAGCAAGGGTGCCTGGTTGTTATCAGGCCAGAGGAGGGAATGTGCAAGTTGGGCCAGGAACACTTTGTCCCAGCAGGGAGCAAGGCAGCCATCTGAAATCTAGGGTGACATCTGAGGGACTCTGGAGCCAACTAGCGGGAGGAGCCCTTAGTGGCCAAAGAGGGGCTCACGTGGATACCAAGGACACAATGGCTGCCGAGGACTGCAGCCTTTCACATGTACTGAAATGCAGGAGTTTATAAAGATATTTTAAAAGTCATCATTTTTGATCCCCGGTACCGAAAAAAAAAAAAAAGTCATCATTTGACACCAAAAGCAAAGCAACAAAAGGAAAAATAAGTCAGTTGGACTTTATTAAGTTTAGACACTAAGCTGGGGATGGTGGCGCACACCTATAATCCCTGCACCTGGGAGGCTGAGGCAGGAGGATCACACGTTGGAGCCCAGCCTGGGCAACTTAGTGAGACCCTGTTTCAAAATTTTACAGAAAGGGGGTTGGGGGTATAGATCAGCACCCCTGAGTTCAGTGCTCAGTACCACAAAGAATAAAAGAAAAAGAAAACATGTGCACACCAAAACTTATACATAAATGTCCATAGATGTTTTAACATAATAGCCAAAAAGTGGAAATAACCCAGATGTCCCTCAACTGGTGAACGGCTAAAGTAATTTTCAGCACTGCAGAGAAAATGACAGGTGTGTGTGGCTGCGTGGGCAGGTGAAGTGAAAGTGACCAAACAGAAAAGGTCACAGAGTGTAGGGGTCCTCCTGCAGGAGATGTCCAGAGGTGGCCAGTCCACAGAGGTAGGAAGGGGCGCGGTGCTTGGCAGCCTGTGGGAGGGGTAATGGAGCCACTGCTGATGGGCCTGGGGCTGCTTCTCAGAGGCTAGGGATGTTCTAAAGCGTGCACCGCCCTAACCGCCACCGCCCCATGCAGCCAGGTGAAAAGAGACCATCTGGAGGCCAGCAAGTGGCACAGCGGAGGGAGTGGTCAGGTCAGGGTGGAGAGCAGGTGGGTGGATCATGTGACCCTTCGTTGGCAGGGGTGGCTGTTGGGAACCCTGCTGGCCAGCTGCGCAGCACCCAGGCAGGCCTAGCTGCTGGCTCAAGTGCTAGTGCTGGGGGAAGAGGTGGGCGGGTTGGGGGGCCGGGGAAGGCATGGTGGGGCCTGGCACAGGTGGATGCCTCAGTGGGTGCTGGCGTGCCCTCGCTGGGGAGCAGAGAGGAGATGGACAGGAGGCAGTCTGCAGATGCCCGGCACTGTGTTGGGAGCCCAGTGCACAGAGCGGACCCTTGGAACGTGTCGAGGTTGGGGCCTGGCGATGCAGAAGGAACCTGGGTGGAGTGGCCCATGGTGTTGGAGAGCTCACAGGGAGACGGGGACAGGCTGGGGCTGCCCTATGCATCAGCACTGTGGCTATAGCTGGGTCCCACCTCTCCGCTGTGGAGGTGACAGTGGGTAGGGGTGTCCCCGCCCGGGACCCCTGGTCAGAGCTCTGTGAGGTCCCAGGGAAAGTCACTGTCGTGGTTCTGTGTGGGCTGTCTCCCGCCTAGACAGTGTCCCACCTTCCAGCCCATGGCTTCCCTGGGAGTGTGTCCCTGGGGTGGATCAGCCAAGGGCAGGCTGAGCTCATGGAGGTGGACCTGGTCACATAGGCAGGAGCTGGGCCTGCGGGGAGTGGCAGCAGCTACAGCTGGTGGACTCAGCACCTGCAGACAAGGCGACACGCTGTCCCCTAGTCTCCTTCTGCCCAGGAGCCGCCTATGCCTTTGGTGCCCACTTTTGGAGCAATGGCCTCTCGCAGGGCCTTCTTGGGAGTTGCCAGTGGCGTCAGCTGAGCGACTCCCTCCTGTTGCGTTCTTCTGAGCAGCCTTGTCCGGGCAGAGCCGATGGGGAGGTGAAGTTGAGAGCCGGCAGAACTGGACCTCCGATGCCCTGGTCACCCTAGGCTTCCTGGGGTGGGCATGGCTCCTCAGGCTATGTTGGGTCCTGGAACCAGTGACTTTCTGGAAGGACTGCCCTGCACTTGTGGCCTGGCAGTGCCCCACGGGAACCCTGCATACCTTTGGGCAGGTGATCAGTAGGAGACCGGGTCAGGCTTCCGGAGTGGCTGCTTGGAAGCCAGGGGTCCTCCCGACCAGGCCTCTGGTCCACTGCTGCTTAGCAGGCCACCTCCAGGGGCCTGTCATGCTAGCTGGGTTGCTTCTGCGCGCTGGCGGGGTGGGCGATCTACTAGGGGAACAGCCACCGTCAGGTCCCTGTGGGCTGTGTTCTGCCTTAGCAGCCCCTGCTGTGTGCCACACACCCACCCATTAAACTGTGCGGATTCCAGTGTGGTCCTGGGCATCACTGTGCCTGCCCGAGGTGGGGGCTAGCAGGGAGTGCTGGTGGCAGCAGTCCTCAAGGCCACAGTCCCAAGCCAATGGGATAGGCTGCTGGGTGTGGATGGGGAGCTGGGGGCAGTCTGGGCAGGGGATCTGGTTGGCTCTGGGGGCAAATGTGTGTGGCCTTCCCTGCCCAGGGCTGTGCCAGTGCCCGGAAGCAGCTGCAGTTCATGGGCCAGATGCTCGACGCCGTGCAGAGCCTGGTCGTCGGACGCTCCAGTTACCCCAGGTAAAGGTCCCAGCCCACTCCATGCCCCGGACTGGCTGTTCTGTGTCCTAGATATGGATCTGGTAGGGGTCTGGGGGTCGGGACACATCTCCAGCTGGGGTTTCACTGTTCCTCTCTGGTGGCAGCAGCCACATGCTGGTCTGGGAGCTAGAGGTGCAAGTTGAGACAGGACACCCCCCCCACCCTGTGTGACCTGGTGGCTGGGGTCCTGAGGTCCCAGATCATTGCCCAAGGTCCCGAGCCGTCAGCACTGGGGGCTTCAGAGAAGAGAGCCCGGGCACATTGGAGGAGCGCAAATGAGGTGCCAAAGCGAGCAGAGGCTGAGAGAAATGCTGAGCAGTGGGGTTCCGGTACCCTGCTCTTCTGCTGGCTCTCCTTTACCTCGAGGGTCTTGCGCATGGGACCCCAGGCTTGCCGGGCCAGTGTCCGGGCTGTGATGGTGGGCCCGGGCCTGTGTTTGCAGTGTGAAGGAGGACTTTGAGGACAACGCCGAGAAGAACGAGGGAATGCTGGAGGAGCTGTTCTCGGGCGTGCACCTGGAGATGCTTCTGAGCCCCAAGTCAGACCCATGGCCCCTGGACATGCAGCCTGTCCTTGAGAACCAGGGTGACGACTGGCAAGGGTAGGTGTTGAAGAGGGCCCACTAGGGTTAGGGCTGGTGCTTGCAGCAGAACGCTGCAAAGTGCCCCTTCTTTCCCTGCAGGCCTGACCCCTTGGCCCGGTCAGAGAAGGAGAAGGTGGCAGAACTGGCCAGGCAGCTGCAGGATGGTGCAGCCAGGCTGTGGGCACTCAGGGCTGAGGTGAGGCCGTTGGCTTCTGGGGTTGTGGGCCTCGAGGCCCAGGCCCCACTCTTGAGTCCTGGGGCAGGGCCACCCCTGTCCCTGCCTGGTGGGCTACATGAGGTGGGTGTTTCCTGTGATGGGAGCTAGGAGGCTCTCCTGGGAGGGGGGTCAGCCCCAAGCACCATGTGTCATGTGCAGTGTCACAGGCAGTGCTCCCGACAGCCCTTGGCAGGGCTCTTTAGGGGACAGAGACTGCGGCCTGTGTGTGCATGAGCAGGCAGCAGGGCGGAGGCTCAGCTGGCTGGCTCTCGGTCTCTTGCTTATGGAGGCCGCTGTTTGGCATCCTGCCTGCCTGCTAAGTCTTCTTATCATCTTTCAAAGTTAAAAGGTTTTATTAGTACACATTTGCAAGACATTAGTAGTTACCTTCGTTTGGGGGGAATTGGTATACACTGTATATCATATCCTGATCATTTCTGATCTGCCCTGTCCTCTTTCCTGTCTCTGCCGAGCCTGTCCACTGTATAAGATGTGTGCTGGCCAGGCAGGGTGGCCCATCACTGTCACTATTGGCTTTGCAGAGCTTGGAGCAACACAAGGCTGGGGAGGCTGTGGGTGGTGCTGACACCAGCATGCTGGAGCAGAAGCTGCACCTGGTCATCTCTGACTTCCACCAGCTGGTCCTGGCCTTCATCCAGGCCTACGACAATGAGCTGGGGGAGTGCTGCCAGCGCCCGGCCCCAGACCTCCACCCGTGTGGCCCCATCGTCCAGGCCGTGTGCCAGACTCTCACTTCCTGCAGCCAAGTAAGGACCCTCCTGTCCTCTCCTCTCCCTTTGTGCCCTGTCCACCATGCCGAGAGCCCACACCTGCCTGGGGACCCCAGGGACTTGAGGTCTGGAATGAGCCTGGGCTCCTCGAGCCAGTGTGGCACGGCCAGGCCTTGAGCTTCAGTCCCAGGGCCCTTGGTGGCTTGCGGCAGACACATCTTGTGGCTTGGAGGGAGGTGCCTAGGTGGTAGCAGGGAAGAGAGCTGATGTAGATGCCGTCCCCAAGAGGTCACTGTGGGGCGTCAGCTGAGCTGAGCCCAGACTGCAGATCCCAGACCCTGCCTCTCTCGGGTCCTACTTGACCCAGGATGCATTCCAGACCCGGCTTCCAGCTCCTGTCCCTAAATTGGCCTTGCTCTGTTTTTGCATCATGCCCAAGCACAGCAGGGCACCCCCTGTCTTGCTCGTGACTGAACACTGTGCCAGACAGGAAGACACATGTGGGTCTGTGCCTGGGGGCCAGCCTGGATGAGACAGGCTAAGCTGACTAAGTAAATGTTTGCTTGTTTTGTTCTATGCTTCAGGTCCTCAGGCCGGGCTGGGTTTGGTTATGATCACTGCGTTGCCATGTGCACACCCTGACATTGGCTCAAGGGTTCTGTACATTTATTTTGGGTTTTTTACCAGAAAGGCTCCAGGATGTCCCAAGCTCAGGCCAGCCTATCTGTGACACTCACACAACAGGGACGGTTAGGGCATGGTCCTCATTCCTAGCGCAAAGGCATTTTTTTCTTTGCACAGTTTTTCTGCCTTACCATTTGCTTGGCTTGGGCTGGGACAGCACAGAGTGCTGCCGTGTCACTGGGCGCTGAGGATAGCCAGGGAGATATGATAGTGTGGCAACCCCAGTGTCCAGGATGAGGAAGCCTTGAGTTGTGTTGGCAGTGGTGGGTTCTGTCCCTCGCCTGTGGTTCTCTGCCACACACACATTGTGAGGTCGGGTGGGAAGCGGGAGGTGCTACCTGCAGGTAAGTGCCACACATGCCCTTGCTCCCCACCAGCTGTTGAAAGCAGTCGTGGAGCTCATGGATGCCTCTGCGGAGGCCATGGATGTGGTGCAGAGGCAGGAGAGGGAGCCGATCTGTTGGGACAGCAGCAGCTCTGTAATGAGCCTAGGTATGTGGTTGCAGCTGGTGGCCGGCATTGCAAAGCGAAGTACCCGCTTGGCTGAGGGCCTGGGTCAGGCATGGCCTCATCTTTCGATGCCTCACTGGCCCTGGGGGAGCATCGGGGGGACTGGTCCCTCGGGTATTCTTTTTCTAATTGCTGTTTTCCTTCTCCTGAAGAAATGCTTTCAGTGGATTCCAAAAGCGAAACATCCCTGGTAGGAAGGTAGAGTGACCCAGGGGTGTGCAAGAGTGAGAACAAAAGGGACCCCCACTCCCGCAGCCCAGAGGTGGTCGGTGTTGGTATGGTGGTCTGAATCCTGCTCTTTTTCCTATCACTGTGTTATTCCGAAGTGTAATCATAACATACATGTTTTTTTTTTGTGGGGGGTACTGGGGATCGAACTCAGGACCTTGCGCTTTTGAGGCAGGCGGTGGCACCGTTGAGCTAAATCCCCGGCCAACATACATATGCTTTTCCATCTTGTTCATTCCCTTGGGCTCATTATCAGCGTTCCCAGGGCCCTAGTGTCAAGCACGATTCCATTCAGGCATCTGCTGCAGTTTGCTTTAGAGTTTCCATTACTGAATCTATAGGTCGTTCTGTTTTTTGCTGTTATACATTGTTATGGTTTAGATCTGTAATGTTCCCCAAAGGCTCCCTGTCCAGAGGTGGGACTTCACGCAGGTGACTGGCTCATGGGGTGCTGTACTCATCCGGGGATTGATCTTGGATGAGTTCAGGGCTGAGCATGCTGCTGGAGGGGTCTGGCTGGCGGGCCCCGGGGAGTGTGCATTTAACGGGAGTGTTTCCGTCCCTGTCTCCCTCATTCTCTCTGCTTCCTGGCTGCCTTCGGGGAAGCAGCTCTCCTCCTCCATGCCCTTCTGCCGTGATGTTTCTGCCTCGGAGCCGGCCGACTGTGGATTGAAACCGTGAACCAAATCTCTCCTTTAAGTTGTGGGTGCTGGGTGTTTTGTCCTAGTGACAGGAAAGTGACCAAGACGTGCATAATACCATTGCAGGGCTTATAATAGTGAAAAAGTAGAAACAACCCTAAGTCCTGCATTAGCAATGCTCAATAAGTAATGGTTTACTGTGGTGGGACAGTGGTCACTGTTTAAAGCATTGGTTACGATGACATGTTGTAAAATGTTAAAGGAAAACTACAGGTTGAGAAACAAAATAGCAGTATGACCTCACCTTTCTAAAGGAACAAATAAGTGGATGAAATCCCTGAAGGACATGAGCCAGCGTATGGACTTTGATTTTCTCTGTGCTGGAATCAGAGGTGACTGGGTTTATTTCTTTAGCCTTCTCTCTCTGGTCTGTGGATATTCGGCAGTGAGCATGTGTGGCTGAGGCTGTTTTGCTCTTGCTTATCCATCTTTGACAAAAGGTCACAGTGAACATGTTTAGACGTAGTGTGCTTTCCTCATTTTAGAACCCTACCTTGGCATGTGTCCCCCCGCCATGTTAGCGAGGCCAGGTAATTCGGCCACACGATTGCCATCTTACTTGGCACAGGGTTTGAGCCTTTCATTTCTGCTATTGGATTGAAGCAAAATTGTCTCTGAACTTAATTTTAATTCAGCTTATTTTCCCGTCTTCTATAATTCTGGAAATGTACATTTTAAAAGTTTGTTCTTTTTGAAGAAGAAAAACAGCATTTTAAGAGAGCATCAACTGGCAGGGCTCTGCGGACCAGTTGGTTTGGATCTTTGCCTGGTGCTGTGTCAAACCCCTTTATTCCCAATCAGGTGATTTCAAAGTGGTTATTTGGGTCACCACAACCCAGGCGGGGAACGGAACACGGCTACTGTTCCTGCCCTGGGGCTCTGCTGTCCTACCTGACAGTCATTGTTTCTGTGCACTGTTTGTAATTCGCTCATTCCATTGCCACGTGGCACAGGTCAGCCAGCTTTTTAAGCCAAGGATTAGGCAGTAAGTATTTTAGCCCGGAGGGCCATGCGGCGGCGTCTTTGGCACTACGCAGCCCGACTGTGGCAATGGGCAGAGGAATGTAAGTGAAGGAGTGTGGAACCAGGTGATGGGCTGGCTGTTGTGTGTCGCCTCCTGCCCGTCGTGTTCTGCCACTGGCCTGCGCGGTGCTGGCTTTCTGTGCTGCTCTGCCCGGATGTGCGGGTGGTCTGCGGGGACCGCTGTGTGAGCATGCTGGCCGAGGCCCTGGTGCATGCGCGGCCAGCTTCTCTAGGGTTCTTCCTGGGAGTAGAAGCACTTGCTCCTGCTGTGTTGTCACCTGGCTGTGCAGGATAGCAGGCAGCCGTGGTGCCACACCCTCAGTGACCCTGGCTGTGGCCTCTTTCTAATTGGTGCCTATTGGGTAGGCATAAAAGGTATTTCATTCCATCTTTGGCATTTCTCTAATTTCTAACGGGGTTGTAGCTTTTCATACACTTACTGACCATTGAAATTTTCTCTTTCATGGATTGCCTGTTTGAGTTTTTCTCGTTTTTCTATTGGGCTTACTCATCTTATCTCATGGGTATACAACCCTGAGGTGCTCATATTTCCCTGGTATCCCTGAAGACCTTTTATGTGGTGTTTTCATATATAGTAGACTTTTTTGGTATCAGGGATCGAACTCGGGTCCTTGCGCTTGTGCAGCAGGGGGCGAAACCTCTGAGCTAAATCCCTGGCCTATAGTAGATTTTTTTGATAAATTTTATTTTATTTTATCCCATTCCCCCCTCAAGCCCCCTCCCCTCCCTATGTACAAGAGCTTTGTTTCCATTTTGTCCTTCTATTTTCGCAGTTTTTCTTGTCCCTTCTTTTCTCCGTCCCTCCACCTTGTTCCCCTTCCCATTGCCCAGCATCCATTATACGTCTCAGTCCTTATTTCCACTTTAGGTTTCTCCCACCAGAGAAACAATGTGGTATTTAAATAGGGGTGTCTGATTTACTTCACTTAAGAGTATGGTCTCAAGTTCCATCTATTTAGCTGTAAATGTCTGAAGCTCATCCTTCTTTATGGCAGAGTAGTACTCCATTGTATATCTAGGAGATTTTAATTTATTAAAAAAAATTTTTTTTTGAGACAGGGTCTCGCTATGTAGTTCAGACTGGCCTTGAACTCACTATGTAGCCCAGGCTGACTGACATCAAACTCTTGGTGATCCTCCTGCCTCAGCCTCCTGAGTGCTGGGATTATAGGCATGTGCTAGCAATGCACAGCTAGTAGATTTTAATTAAAATGTAGACTTTCCTACTCCAGTGATACAATGTTCCAAATCCTTTAGAGCATTACTGTCTGTGGCTGGGTTAGTAATCTTTCCAGAGTTGATTTTTGTGTATGATGTGGTATGGGGATCCAACTTCAGCTTATCCTGTACAGATACCGTGCCCTAGCACCATTTAATGGGAATCTATTCTTTGCCTCGTCGGTTTAAAATCCCGTCAGCTCTTGAAGTTAAGTATGCATACATACGTGGGTCTCTGGGTTCTCTATTCTGTTTCTCTCTGTTTCCCTATCCTCGCACTTTCACTGTATTTTAGAAGAGTAGAAAATAAACGGCAAAATAAGGTCAAAGAAAGAAGGTAAAGATAGTTTCTTTAGCTTGTTCTTCACATCTCTGTCCCTGTCTCTGTCTCTCTTGTGTTGGAGATACAGCCCAGGGCCTTCACACACTAGGCAATTGCTCTACCACAGAGCCTCACCCCAGCCCTATTTTTATTTATTTTTATTTTTATTTTTTGGTACTGGGGATCGAACTTGGGTCCTTGTGCTTGTGAGGCAGGCAGTGGAACCACTGAGCTAAATCCCCAGCCGCCCAGCCCCATTTTTAGTGATATTTTTACTGAGTTATAATTCACATAACATAAATTCACCCTTTTAAAAGTGTGCAATCCAATTTTTTAGGCTATTTGCAGAATTGTACAACCATCACTCCCAAGTCCATGATATTTTTTATCACCCGAAAGGAAATCCCATACGATTAGCAGTCACTTGCTGCTCCTCCAGCCCCAACCTCTTCTGGTCACCCTATGAATAGACACATGAAATAATGTGGCCACCTGCATCTGGCCTCTCTTATTGAGCATACCGCTTTCAAGGTTCATTCACACGGTGCATTCCACTTCATGGCTGAATAAGCTCCATCGTGTGGTTGACAGTACATTGATTATCACCCCTTGATTGATAGGCATGTGGGTTGTTTATGTCTGTCCCGAGTAATGCTGCTGTGAGCACTGCATGTGAGTCTGTGTGTGAATGTTTTCACTTCTCAAGTCTACACCTAGGAGAATTGCTGGCTCATATAGTGACTTCATGCTTAACTTCCTGAACGACTGCTAGCCTGTTTTATCCATTCTGCCAATCTGTACCTTTTGATAGGGGTTTTAAATTATTTTACATTTAATGTAGTTACTGATGAGGTAGAATTTACATCTGCCATTTTGTTCTTTGTTTTCTGTAATTCTTAACTCTTATTTAATCCTCTCTTCCTCTATTGCTTCTTTAGTATTACATAGCTATTTTCTAGTATACCATTTTAACCATTTACCAGTCCAATTGTGTACATATAGGATGACCAAAAATTGCATTTTTTGGTTAATTTTTATAAGATAATATAACGGGAAATATAAAAGTGACAAGTTTATCAAATTTATTCAGTATAGGAATTGACTGGTTGAAATGACATGTGCCCGAGTGACGCTCAGGATAGTCAGTATAGAGACAAACACACTGCCTGAGTGACACTTGGTGTAAACTGTTAAGTGGTTAATTTCCTTATCGTTTATTTTCTTAGTAGTTGCTTTCAGGATTACAGCTAGCATCTTAGAACAACCTAGTGCCCAGTTAATTTCAATAGTATACAAAAGCTTTGCTCTAATAAAACTTCTTTCCTTCTCTCCTTTTTTGTAGTATTCTTTTTTACATATTACAACTTTATAAATTGTATTCCCATTAAAACAGACTTATGATTATTGGTTCATGCAATTGCCTTTAAAATAGGAGTAGAAAAGTCACAAAAATACACTTATACACACTTTTATATTTGCCTATATTGTTACCTTCATTGGGGTTCTGTATTTCTTCCTGTGGACTGGAATTATTGTCTAGTGTTCTTTCATTTCAGCCTAGAGAACCACCTTTAGTATTTTCTGCAGGGCAGGGCCACCAGTGACAGACTCTCTTGGTTTTTGTTAATCTGGGAATGTCTTAATTTTGCCATTATTTTTTGAAGGATAGTTTTGCTGGGTATGGAATTCCTGGTTAACAGTTCTTTTCTTTTGTACTTTTAATTTTTTTTTTTTTTTTGGTACCGGGGATCAAACTTGGGTCCTTGCGCTTGTGCAGCAGGCGGCGAAACCACTGAGCTAAATCCCCGGCCTCTTTTGTACTTTTAATATGTCATCCCACTCTCACTTGGTTTTTACAGCTTCTGCCATGGAACTAGCTTTTAATCTTACTGAGGATTCTTATATGGGATGAGTGTTTTCACTTTCTTGTTTTCATATTTCTGTTGGTCTCTGGCTTATGACAGTTTGCTTATAATGAATCTTTGAGTTTATCTCATTGGTGCTCTCTGGACTTTTTCGATTCTTGTTTCTCATCAACACTCAACCAGGCAATTGCCAACTCTTCCTTCTACTTGACTTGCTGGCTCAGAGTTTCTAGGTTAGCCAGAGGTGAGAGCCCAGAGCCTTCCTGGGTCTTGCACGTGGCCTTCTCACTTGCTAGGGACTAACTCACTCCTTCCTCATAGTTGCCTCCTCAGCCTTTTGGTAATCTCTTGTTTGTCACACTGTTATCCACTGCCTCAAGCAGAAGGAGCTAAAGCACCTGCTTGTAACTGCTTTCCACCAGCACATCACCGGGTAGTGGCCTAGGTGGTGGGGCCTTGGCGCCCCCTCCCTTGGGAGGCTGTCTTTGGACAAAGTCCCTTGGCAGCCAGCTTTCACATGGCTCGGCACATGCAGACCAGCCTCAGCAGTCTGAGCCTTGCTGATGGGACGGCAGCAGAATCCTCTGTAATTGATGGGAATCAACTGTATATCAACCACCCCGTGTTATCATAATAATGACCATTAATATTCTTAACATGTTTCAAGTCACGGTGGCCAGCACACAGTTGGGCTGGCAGCAGGTCCGGCTTTTCAGACAGGCACCTTTTCTGGGGATAGCCCTGCCTGCCCATGAGCCCCCTGCGCTCTAGTCAGTGCAGCTTCCTGATTTGCTTTGAGACAAATCCTTAGGCTCTCTGCATACCCAGAAAAAGGGACCGGGGTCAAATTATTCCTGGATAGAGAGTCCATGTGGCTTCTTTCCAAGTCCTTGGTATCCTGAACAAAGAATTGGACAAGATACACAGAAAAGGCAGTGGAGGTGTACATTTATTGAAGGTGGAAAGAGGCAAGCTTTACAGAGCAAGAGTGGGCAGGGAAAAAGGCTCACAGAACCCCGAGTGAGCGCCAGGGAAAGCGGTCATTTATATCCAAAGTTGCTGGGTCATCTCCCTCTCATGCAAATAAGGTATTGGAACAGTTGTTCTATTAACGACTCACTTGGCATCGCCTGATACAAACTGTCCTGTCGAAAACCTTGGCTTCCTGGCATATGTAAATGAAGGGTCAGGAGCAGTGTCTTTGATTGTGCTCACATGCAAAGGAAGGATTAAAAAGAGCATCTTCTGATTGGTCCTGTGAACCATCCCAGATTCAAATGAAGGATTGGAAGTAGCACCTTTCCAGTTGGTTCTGTATACTGTGATGATGGTGTCACCATATGTGGAGCGTCCTTCACCCTGTTGCCCTGACTTAAAATCCATGCTGAAGGCCGTCTTGGAGCCCTCCTACGTGTCAGTGAGATTCCTAGGTCCCGTGGGTCCCAAGCCCCACAGGCGTGTGGGCGCATTTAGAGGACAAAGCAGCCCTGTCTGTCCTGTGAGAGCGGGGGAGGGTGCAGGTGGCACCGGCACAGGGGAGAGGTTTGCCTTGGAGGGCGTGTGACAGAGGTGGTGGAAAAAAATTTTGCCCAACGGATAAGGAATGTGGGAAAGACGAGTTTCTTTAGCTCAAGGGACGCTACCAAGGGGAACAGCAGGTGCATTTTGGAGGGGACTCACACAGTCAGGGTGAGCAGTTGGCTTTTTCCTGAGGGGTAGAGGACATGGAAAGGATCCGTGCAGACCCTTGGGAGGCAGCTGTTCATGGCTGTGCTTTGCCAAGCCCACTTCCCTAGGCCTTTAGGGTTTGGTGAGAAGTTGGCGAGGAGACCCATGCATATCTCTCAGAGAAGATGGCTCCAACCTCTGGGAAGCAATCGTGGGCCTCCACTGGAAGCTTTGCCGCGGTGGCCTACCAAAGGAGGCACTTTTTCCCCTTTGGTTTTCTGAGACAGGGTCTTGCTGTGTAGCCCAGGCTGGCCTCAAACTCCAGGCAATCCTCCTGCCTCAGCCTCCTGAGCACCGGGTTTACAGGCATGGGCCACCACACCCAGCCAGAGGAGCTCTTCAACTGGAATTCCTGTGAAGAGTTTAAAATTTTTTTCTTAGTCGTATTTTCAGTGTACACTGATTGCATTCCTCGTGGGGAGTGACACATGTACAGGACACGTCTTCATTCTTTTTATGTCCCTTCCCCTTCATCCTTCAGTCCCCTTCCCTTTTGCAAAAGATCTACCTCCATGTTTTCTACCATCTGTCTTTTATTTTGCTCTTTAGATGGTTTATACTTTGGGTTTCTCATTTAAGAGACACCATGTGATATTTAAGGTTCAGTGTCTCATTTCTTCCACTTAACATTGAGGTCTCAAGGTGCACCCATGATACAAATATGTCCTTCTTTGTGGTGGAGCGTATGACTGCAGTTTCTTTCTTTTTTTGGTACCGGGGATCGAACTCAGGACCTTGTGCTTGCGAGGCAGGCGACAGAACCACTGAGCTAAATTCCTGGGCCCCAGAAAGGCATCGCAGTTTCTTTATCTCTTTGTCTGTCAGTGGACGCGTAGGCTGCTTCCCAGATTGACTTCGGAGGAACTTAGGGTTTTCCTCCCTTTCCTTGTGCGTAGGCGGCTGCTGTAAGGTAGACAGGAGTGGAAGGTGGGAGCGTCGAGGGCTGGTCTGCTGTGGGGAACAGGGCCTGGCAGGTGTTCTGGGAGGGAACCCTCGCCTGCTTTTTTGTGAAGAAAATGATGCATACGAATGTCTTCCTGGCCTCAGAGGATCCAAACCCTAAACTGTGCGGGCTAACTCTGTGCCCTGGCCTCCACGCCACCTGTCCTCCAAACCCCTCTCGGAGAGGCTCCCCTTGCCACCTGGGGGAGAGAAGACCTGGACGCGTGACCCCGGGAACATGGAGACACACCCCGTGAGCCCACTCCTAGACAGCTGGGAAAGCCCAGGAAAGCAAAATGCTGCCGCCGGTCTCTCAGAACAGAGGGAGGAGACAGTCCCACGGGTGGGAGGAAGGGAAGCGTTGGCCCAACAGAGCTGAATGGGCCAGGCCCCGCCTTCCAAGTCCAGAATGCATCCGAACCTGAAGGATACTGCCCCGGACCCAGCCTGCTGCCACCTGCGGTGCCAGGGCCAGGGCGCCAGCCTGAAGCTTGGCAAGAGGAAGCCATACTCGGCCTCGGGAGTGGCACTGGCCTGGTGGCAGCACCTGGAGGGCTAAAGCTGGATGGCCTGGGGTCGAGGAGCCTAGGGCCCCTGTGGAGCTGGGAGCACCTCGGATGTGATAAAGGGGAAGCACCGTCCATCGAGAGATGTCTACTCCCTGGACACCTCTGGTGGCACTGATGACGTGTGGGGTGGTCCCAGGGCACAGTTCAAGGTCCACCCACTCAGGCTTCACTCTGGGGCACACCCCATGAGTCCTGAGCTCCAGAGCCACCTCTGGGCTGGGCAGAGGTTGACGACTTGGGGCCATCACTGCAGCTCGGGTCAGTGTTAATATCCTCGCCAGTGAAAAGCAGCATAGCTGAGCCCGGGGCTGGAGGAGGGAGGGGAGCAGAAGAAATAGGTGTGATGGAAGGTAGGGCACCTGTACCGCGCGCACCATGTGCACCTGGGAAGCTGGGCCACAGGAGTTGCCTCAGGACTGTCCCGTGACATTGAGGATGTTCCCATGTGATTCAAATAGAAGCCACCATCAAAATCAGGGCAGCCTCCAGCTCCTGCAGTGGCAGGAGGGAGTGGTGGGGACACATGGCCTGGCCTGGGCCTTGATGTCCGTGTGACACAGCCTGGGATGCACAGAGGCCCTCTTGGCAGCTCTCTGTGGGTCACAGTGGACATTGGGCCCTTGGGCTCTGAGCTCCTCGAGGGCCAGGTTGGGCCTTCCCTGCCATCCCTGAGGGGCCCCGGCATGATGTCCCGCCTTTCCTGGCCTGGAAGGTCTCACTTCACTTGGCTTTTGTGTTTTTCTTTCTTTTGCAGCCACCAAAATAGAAGAACTAACACAGAAATACCAGGTCTTCATCGACAGCCTGCATGAGGGCGAGGGATAGTGTAGGGCTGCAGCCTTCAGCTCCCGGGGGGTGGGAAGGGTGGGAGGGACAGAAAACCTCAGGCTCCCCCAGTATGTTGCCTCTCGCTTGGTCTTTGCCCCTGCCACTCTATGTCACCCTTCTCTCCTGCGGTCTGAGCTGCACCGCCTCCTTTCTGTCCCCTCTGCCTGTTGCTCCCACTCCTTCCCGCTGCTGTCCTGTGATGCTTGGCATGCCCCCGCCCCGGTCTTGCTGCACCCTCAGGTGCCCCTCCTTGGCCCTACAGCTCAGGGTCCCAGGGCACACTCCTCTCAGCCCTGTGCCCGGGAGCTGGCCTGTCTCCTCCTGCCTGCCCAGGTGCTCAGCATCCGCTGGGGAATTCTTGATGTGGCCTGACTGGTTGTCCCAGAAGCTGCTCCCTGGGCTTCCTGGGTGAGCCAGTATCTTCCTGAGCATTGCACCTGTCACCGCCACCTCCCTCCTGTGGAGCCTGGGAACGGGCAGGACTGGCAGGGACTCGCCCTTCCTTGCTCCCCCAAGTCCCTTATGGACATTCAAGGCCAGGAGGGCTCCTCTGGCCCAGTCACCACTTCCAGGTGAGCCAACTACAAGACAGGCCCACGAGGGCCGCCCCGTGCCCCCACTGTCAAGTGCTGCTACCTCGTGCTCCAGAATGAGGTCCTTGGGTGCCACATGCCTTCTGAACCGGGGATGGTCTTGTAGCCACCCTCCATCTTGATGGTGCCCTTCACCTGGAGCCAGGTGGGCAGTGGAGGCCCAAGAGTGTCATCCTTGTTCCTGGGCTCCCAGGCCTCCCAGCTGGCCTGTCCCCTTGTGCCCGCACCTGCCAGCGCTCTCGTCTTTACCACAGCCTCTGCGAAGTGCCTCTCAGACATCTCGGGTCACCACATGCCTGAAGCAGATCCATCCCCCTTCTGGGGGCAGATGGGCCCACAGCTGGGCAGCATCCCTACCAGGCTGTCCTTAGAGAGTACCCCTTCCCCTTCGTAGGCGGATATGGGTTGGCAGCGCCTCTCTCACTTCAAGGGGAAGCCAGGGCCTCAAGTAGGGCACCTTTTGCCTTCAGTGATATCCCAGCATGGAGCCTGGGTCTGCCAGGCCTGGCAGCTGCAGCCGGGTCCCCATCAGCAGAAGGCAGTGCTAGGTGGAGGGTATAGCCTTCGCCTGCCTGGCTTCCTCGGCTTCCTCATGCTTGTGAGGACGCATTCCTCCTGCCCAAGGTGGGGGCATCGCTCATTGGCAGGCAGCCCTGTGTGTGCGTGTTCGTGTGCGTGGGCATGTGCGGAGTCTGCTCTGATGTGTAAACATGGGCGTGTATCCCGTGGCTGTGCACTGGCAAGGTGGTGCGAACAAGCCGGCTGCGCAGGTCCTGCGGCCTCGGGCCTCCTGGTTGCCCAACACGCACCGGGGGAGGGCCGCAGCCGCTGATTAAAGGCTGCCTGGAGCAGCCCATGTGGAGACAGGTGCCAGCAGCCAGCAGCCCAGGACGCCAGCCAGCACCTGCCCCAGGTAAGGCAGCGCGGTGGGGTTGGTGAGAACGGCCACCAGGCTCCCGAGGCAGGCAGAGGCCGGCTAGGGCAGCACTTCACTGCCAGGAAGGCTGGCCCACTGCAGGCTTCCTGTAGCCCACCCAGGGGCAGAGGCTTGGGGCACTGTCCCTGGGCCTCCCAGCTTCAGTGCCGCTGGTGGGCTGCCTGCCTCCCCAGAACTCTGCTGGGGCTTGTGCCAAGCACGGGCCCGGCAGCGCAAGGCAGAGGGCTCTGGGCACGGCGGGCCTGCCTTTTGCTCCTTGCTATGTGGCGAGAGTGGGGTTGAGGGACAGAAAGGGGGCAGTGGGTCCCTAGGAGACTCCATCCGGGACAGAAGGGACAGTGACAGGCCCTGGTCCCTGGTCCCAGTGCTTTGGAGACCCCTAGATGAAGCCACTGCTAGAGGCAAAGGCTGCACGGAGTGGGGTGGGGGGTGGTGTCCGTGTCTCTTTAGCTTCCTCCTGCTGGCTTTGGCAGTTTCAGGCCTTGTCACCTCTGTGAGAAGATCGCCATGTCCAAGCCGCCCCGGGCTGAGACCTTTGTCTTCCTGGACCTGGAAGCCACTGGGCTCCCCAACATGGACCCTGAGATCGCCGAGATCTCCCTCTTTGCTGTGGACCGCTCCTCCCTGGAGAACCCGGAGCGAGATGAGTCCGGGGCCCCTGTGCTCCCCCGCGTCCTGGACAAGCTCACACTGTGCATGAGCCCGCAGCGCCCCTTCACCGCTAAGGCCAGCGAGATCACCGGCCTGAGCAGTGAGGGCCTGGCGCGGTGCCGGAAGGCGGGCTTCAACGGTGCAGTGGTGCGGACGCTGCAGGCCTTCCTGAGCCGTCAGGAGGGCCCCATCTGCCTCGTGGCCCACAATGGCTTTGATTATGACTTCCCTCTGCTGTGCACGGAGCTGCAGCGCCTGGGTGCCCACCTGCCCCAGGACACTGTCTGCCTGGACACACTGCCGGCACTGCGGGGCCTGGACCGTGCCCACAGCCACGGTACCCGGGCTCAGGGCCGCAAGGGCTACAGCCTGGGCAGCCTATTCCATCGCTACTTCCAGGCTGAACCCAGTGCGGCGCACTCTGCCGAGGGTGACGTGCACACGCTGCTGCTCATCTTCCTGCACCGTGCTGCCGAGCTGCTTGCCTGGGCTGACGAGCAGGCCCGCAGCTGGGCACATATCGAGCCCATGTACGCGCCACCTGATGGCCCGAGTATTGAGGCCTGAGCACCTGCTTGTTCACTTGCTCACCTGCCTGGCCCAGCTCAGGCCGGTAGCTGGCACAGACTGGGGCCTTGCTGCACCTCTGCCTGGCCCTGCCCAGTGGGGAGCCCCGGGCCCGTGCACCTGCCAGGCTGCTGGCCTGCCCTGTCTCGACTGCCCGTAGGCCCCAGCAACGTGTTCTTCCAGGGTTCCCCTTCCCCATTTCTCAATAAATATCACCAGTTTCTCACCAGCTGACTCACTGGCCAGAGCCTTGTGGGGGGGTCAGAGAGCCGTGTCAGGCTTGAGCAGAGCCCCCTGGGTCACCCCACTGTGACCCATCCCTGTGGATGCATGGGTGGGGAGACAGCACTGCTCGGCTGCTCTGAGGGGTGAGGGGCTGGGACTGTACACCCTGAGCCACCGGCCACCTGCCTGGCTGGCCCCTTACTGTCACCCTGAGGCCCAAGAAATGGATGAGCTGGGCCTTGGGGTTCATGAGCTGAGTTTGCCCAGGACAGCAGGGAGGGGGCTGGGTCTGCAGGGCTGGCACCTGCCCAGGTGTGAAGCTCACTCCAGCCCTTACCTGCTGGGGGCTCACCCAGGGCCCCTGTGAAGTGGCAACAGAGTGGACTGATAGATACAGGGCGCTGGGAAGAGAAGGGTGTGTGCATGGGGCATTCAGAGGGTACTGACCCGAGGCTCCGGGAGAAGTAGGAGCCTGCCTTGGGCCCGTGACCTGGAGGGAGTGCTGGAGGCCTCGGTGGGGAAGGCAGTCTCTTGCCAGCCACCTCTCTGGGCTTCTGGTTGGTGGGGAGCCTGTCACAGGCTCCTCCCTGAGGTACTCTTGTCTCGTGGGGCCGCTTGTGCCACCAAACCCTGCAGCAGGTAAGGGGTGGGTGGCCACGCCCAAGTGACTCATGGAGCAAAGCCTCCAGCCTTGTGCCACCCAGGCCTGTTCAGGGAACCCAAAATAGGTCACAGTGACTAGAGCTGCCGTGTGAGGTGGCAGGGTGATGAGGCAAGGCCACATCAGACCACCCTGGGGTGGGGGAGGGACCGGAAGGCCATCCTGGGTAGGGACAGGGTGTGACCTGCCTCCCCGCAGCCCCATGGCTTTCCAGGAACACGGTGCAAGCAGGGGTGCGTGCTCACACGACTCACACGCAGAAATGTGGTTCTCTTGCTTATCGTGAGGAGTCAGGTGGGAGCTGAGTGACAGAGGTCTGTGTTAGAACCTGGTGTGTCATGGTCCTCACAAGTCTAACCTACGTCACAGTCATTTCCGCCGCCTGCCATTTGCTTAGGTCTGGACAATCAGTGGATGCTCAAGCCAACTGCTGTGTACCCACTGTGGCCAGGCTCAAGCTGCCAACTGTGTCACCACAGGTGACTGCGTGAGAGATTCGAGACACTCCAACGTTGGTCTCTGCCATGCACATCCTCTGGATGTGTGTCAACCCCCAGTGACAGTGAAATGTGGTCAGTGAACATAGGATGGTTTTGAGTTTCTCCTTTATTTATTTTGGTACCGGGGATCAAACTCAGGACCTTGCACTTATGGGGCAGGCAGCAGAACCACTGAACTAAATCCCTGGCCCTATAATTTAATTTTTAATAAATGGTAGTTTTTGCCAGTCAGTTCTAAACATTCTTAAATGTTTCACACCTCAGAATCACGAGAACAACAATAAAAAAGCCATGCTTCTACTCCCAGGTGACACACCCATGACAAATGCGCTCTGGTGACCATACGGGCTCACGCCAGAACGCTCGCCATGGCTTCACTTCCAGTGCCAACCATCCCGCAGCACATCTGTGCTGGGGACACTTGGTGTGTGCCCCAGCGTGGAGGAGAGCGACTTGGCAGCACCACCGTCCCAAGTGGCAGCTCTAGAGTTCCGGCTCGTCCCTGGCCACCCAGCCAGCCCTGGGCAAGCCACATCACTGAGAGCCACCGGGCCATGGGGAGTGCAGTCAATGGGGACGTCGCCATGATCACAGGAACATCCCTGGGAGACATTGAACTTGAGGCACTTGAGAACAGAACCACCCATGGGCATAGATGCTGAAACCCAAGGGCCGCTAGCGTTTCCTGCTTGTCCTTGCCCAGGAGGCGGTCAGGTGTGAGGGAGGCTGCCCTCGTGGCCTGTCACCACAGGGAGACCCAGCGTCACTGGAGATCGAGGCCTTCCATCGTGGGGAGCGGGGCGTTCATATGGGGCTCCCCACCCCGGTAGCGGCATCAGCATGGTGTAGACCCTTCACACTCCTCCCGTGGCACCCAAGCGCACACATGCTTCCATGCACGCTCACACACGAAGACTGTCTTACTTCTTTGGGACTTAATTTGCCTTTCCCCTCCCTCGCTCCCTCCCTCCCTTCCTTCCTTCCTCTTCCTTCTTTCCTTTTTCCTTTCCTTCCTTTCTTCTTCATTCCTTCCTTCCACCCTCCCACCTTCCTTCCCCTCTTTCCTTTTATCCTTCCATTCTTCCTTTCTTTGTTATGGTGGGGATTGAACTCAGGGCCTACACTCCCAGCCCCTTGATTTGCCTTTTCCCCTCTTTTTTGGGTGTGTTTTTGAGACAGGGTCTGGCTGTGTAGTCCAGACTGGCCTTGAACTATGTGGTCCAGGTTGACTTCAAACTTTCCATCCTCCTGTCTCAGCCTTCCGAGTACTGGGATACAGATGTGCACCACCACACCTGGCTTCATTTCCCTTTGAGTTTCTTGAACATTCCCATTTCCTAAGGGTTCACTTGGAACGAGGGCCTGGGAAGTGTTACTTGTGTCTTGTCTCAGTTTGTAAAGAAAGTGCCACAGGCCACATGGCTTGCAAGTAAGTGAGACACAGAAAGTTAAATATAACATGGTTTCCCTCATGTGAGAAGCCCAGAATACAGCTAAAGCAAAGGAGAGATGGCAGGAAACAAAGAGGTGGAGTTTTAGATGTGGGGAAAGGGATGGGGGACGGGAGAGGGGAGGGAGGGAATAAAGGCGTGGAAAATGGTGAAGAACCAGTTCCCATTGTCAGAAACACACTAATCATAAAAAGAAATGCCACACACGAATTGCTCCTGATTCTGCAGCCCAGAGGTCCCGGATCAAGGCGCCAGCAGGCTCAGCGCCTGGGAAGCAGGCTCCTCCTCATTCACGGTACCTTCCTGCGTGCGGGGGTGGGGGGGCACCAGCTCATGCTCATTCTGACCTATTCACCTTCCACAGGCTGTGCCTCAGTACTACTGCCTTGGTGACTGGGTTTCTTGTTTGTTTTGTGTCGGTACTGGAGGTTGAACCCAGGGCCTTTGCACTGAATTACATCCCTGGTCCTTTTTATTTTTTATCTTGAGACAGAGTCTTGCTAAATTGCTAAATTGCCCAGGCTGGGCTCAAACTGCAGTCCTCCTGCCTCAGCCTCCCAGGGTGCTGGAATTACAGGCATCCAGCACCACACCTGACTGGTGAGTACAAATACTCAGGCCATGGCACACTAACACACACAGACACATACAAGTCTCCACTTCCTGCACACACAAGTACCCTGAAACCACACACCCTCACCCGCCCCACACCCATTCACACGCACGTGCACACACACACATACGTCTGCATACAGCTCACTCCCACATACTCACTAATGATTTTGCATAAACAGGATTTTACTAGATAATTGCTCTTTAAAAACCCCAGACACCTTTGCAGCTTGGGTTGCTTTATAGGCAGTTTCCTGTAGGTCTTCAAGTGCGTTGACACAGTGCTGTTCGCCCGGTGTCTCTAGTGACAGCCACCTTGCTCTCACTGGGTGGGAGGGCGACACATCACACTGTCTTTGCAGAGAAGCCGTGATTTGGGCTTATCATTTCTGTCTTTAAAATTTTCTGCTTCCTTAACTTGAGCTTTTGTGTTGATTAATTCCATCTTTTTCTCTGGCTTAGGTTTGGTTCTTGTTTCTGATTTCCTGAGACGAAGATGCGCCTCCTTTGTTGTCTGACTTGTGGACTAACCGAGGGTGGGTTTGACTGTGCCCCTGGGTTTCCCATTCAGTGTCTTCTTTTCAGAGATTACGCATGATCACGCTCTTCACTTCCTTCCGGCCTAATGCTAGTATAATAGAGCTTATCTCAATTTCTCAGTGGTGAGGGTTGGGTGGTCATCTGTCAGTATGGAGTTTTGAGCTGATGGATAATGGTCTGAGGATGTGCTGCTTAACAGACCTCTTTTTTGAATGAACATTGTTTGGGAACTGTTACGTTAATTCTGGTATGTCAGCTTTATGAGACTAAGGGACACCTGGGTGGGCCTGGGTGGCCATGGAGGTGTGTTCAGTCTTCACCCCTTCCCTTCTGGCTGTGTTTCCCTGCCCCATTTTCTGGAGCTAGAGCTAAGCAGCTTCGCCCCACCCCACCCCACCCTCCCACCATGCTCTTCCTGCTTTGCACCCAATCAACTAGAGACTGTGTCCGCTAAAACCATGAGCCGAATAAACCTCTCCTCCTCAAAGTCATGGGTGCTGGGTATTGTGTTTCAGCCACAAGATAGCTGAAAGATTGTATCTTCTTAAGGGATGTGGGCTTTTCTATATAGTTCTAAAATCTAGTTTGACAATTGTGTAACTATTCAGTTCCTTTTCATACTTGCTCACTTTTCAAAATCTGATGTCTGTCCAATTCTATGATAATATAGGAAAATATTCTGTTATAATTACATTTTATCAAGGTCTTTAATCTAGTAGTCTTTGTTACGCGCTTAGTTGCTATATATTTGTGTTTACTGCTTTATGCCTGCATTAATTAGGATTCTAGTGACATCCATCTATCAAGAAAAAAAAATTTTTTATTGCTTCTCGGCCTTTTGGCTAAAATCAAGTGAAGAAAAATTTTTTTTATCATTCTGGGATTGAATCCACCGCCTTCATACTGAACTACATCCCAGCCCTATTTTGTTTACCTCCCAGACATGGTTGGCTGAGTTGCCCTGGCTGGTCTTCAATTTCTTGCAACCCTCCTGCCTGAACCTCCAAAAGCACTGGGAATACAGATGTGCACCAGCATGCCTGGCTGAGCGGCTTTGTTTTATTTTTGTATTGGGAGTTGAACTCATGGCTTCACATGTGTTAGGCAAGTGCCTGTTTACATCCCTAACCCTTTTTATTTTCAAACCATGCCTTGCTAAGTTGCCCAGATTGGTCTCAAATTTACCATCCTCCTGCCTCAGCGTCTCAAGTAGCTGGAATCCCAGGCAACACATTCAGCTATGGGGAGACTTTAAGGCACTGGGTCATGTGCTGCGGAGGCTGCAGGGTGGTCTGGCAGGCCAGGGACCAAGGGGAGGAATGGCAATCCAAGTCCACAGGCTCCGCAGAACAGAACTTTTCAGTCTTTCCTTTGCAGGGCCTTCAACTGATTAGATGAGGCCCACCCCTACTCTGGAGAGAAATCTACTCTACTGAGAAACTACTGGTTTAAGTGTTTATCTCCCGTAAAAATATGTTCTCTAGATTGGCATCTGACTGAAAACAGGTGCTATCGCTTGGCCGAGTTGATATGTGTGATGGAACCAGCAGTCTTTGCCTCTTTGCCTGTGACCCAGAGTCCTCCCCAGGGACGTTGAAAAGACAACAGTGAACCAAACTGCTATGATCTCAGGCAGCCCAGTCAGGCATCGAGGGTGCAGCAGCTAGGGTGGGTCCACGTGCAGTGAGCACCCCAGGGAAACTGCCCTGTTGGTCTGAGTGTGCCTGGGAAGGGGGCAGAGGCCTCTCCCCGATGTCTTGTTTCAAAGCCCTGAACCTGGGGAACTGGGTACTTGGGGAATGCGTCCTGCATGGCAGGGCCATGGGAGCGCACAGCAGCGATGTGCAGAGGCTCACGGGCTCTCTGGGAAATGCTCTTGGCAGAGGTGGATGGCTGGAGGCAGGGTGCCTGCTTCTCATGCCTCGGGGCACACTCGTGCCCTGGAAACTGCCTGGGCTCGTGCTGGGGCAGCTATCGGCTGCACGAGGAGTGATCTTCCCCTGCACCCCCAGACCCCAAGATGTGGCTGGATAGAACCAGGGTCTCCCCTGCCCAGCATGCTCTGCCTTGCCTGCCTGGTCCCCCAGCCCCACCCACTGCTGTGAGCCTGGATGACACCAGGGCTCCTGGCAAGTGTGCTCAGCATCCCTGCTGGGTGGTACTGCCACCTTGGCCTTGCTGGGTGTGGAAGCACACGCCTGCCATCCCAGTACTCAGGAGGCTGAGGCAGGAGGATTGCAGCGAGTTCAAGGGCAGCCTGGGCTGCACAGGGAGATCCTGTCTCAACAGCAACAACAACAACAACAACAACAAAGCTGTCTGTCACCTGAGGCAGCAAGTGACAGCAGTCCTGTGGGCTATTTGGGGACCTCATGAGCATGTGGGGCGTGCACCTGGGGCGCAGGGGTGGTGGTTTGGTCGAGGCCTGGCCTCAGCCCCAGTGAGGAAGAGCACACGGCCACCCCAGAGCCCAGCCATGCAGAATGGCGGCAGCGGGGAGGACAGCAAAGGTCCCATCTGGCCTCTGAGCCTGGCAGCGTGGGTACGGGTAGCAGCACTGCCATTGCCGGGAGCAGTGCAAACTCTGCTTGTGGGAGGCCAGCACCAGGGCCGGGAGGGACCTGGCAGTTGGGAAGGCTCAGCTAGTGGCTGGTATGTGCACGGGCTTTGTAGTGAGAGGTGGGTGCCAGGCCCAGCCTCTGTCCCTCAACTCTGACCAATGGCAGTTACCTCCTCTGTGAAATGGTAACAACACAGTTGGTGGGAGGGCCCAGAACACGGTGAAGTGCAGTGACCACTGCTTGGGCCTGTAGCTATCTTCCTTTTGAGCCCTTGTACTAGACACAAGGCATTGTACTCTTCTTGCCACTGCCTCTGAGCCCTAGAGGGCTGCCTGGATCCTGCCATTCCCACCCTTCCTCACTGCCCCTGGCTCGCTGGGCTCCAGCTACACAGGCCTCCAACACACCAAGCCTGTACCTGCCTGTAGTAGACTGGAGATGGGAAGGAAATAGGTAGAAAGGAGACAAGAGAAAAGCCTTACAGCTTCAGGGCACCATCAAAGTTACCCAAAGTGAGAATTATTTTTCCCTCCCAGGCTCTTCACTTCTAAATTCTTAAATTAAAAAAAAAAAAATAGAGCCAGGTGTGGTGGCACACACCTGTAATCCCAGCACTCTGGGAGGCTAAGACAGGAGATTGCAAGTTCGAACCTAGCCTGGGCAATTGAGCCAGCACAAATGGAATATGCTGGCCTGTGTCCTTCTCCTGTGCCATGGCCTCACAGTCCCCTCGGAGGTGCATCTGTCCCCTGCCTCTCCCGGATGTGTCCTGAAAGTCTTTTCCTGTGACGGGCGTTGCCAGAGCTGTTCTGTGAGGGTGAGTTGAGGTCCCCTGCTCTTTGGGGACCTCCTCAGATCCCATCCAGTCACAGATGAGTGGGGGACCCTGGATCACTCTGCATCCTCATGGAGAAAAAGGGGTAGAATTACATGAAAGAGCTCGGGATGAATCCGGGTTACCCGGGTGAGTCCCACGTCCGGTGACAAATGACTTTGAAAGAGTCCCCAAGGGGACAGGGATGAGGGCTTGTAGTGAAATGGCCACAAGCCAAGAGTTGCTCTGGTTACCAGATGCTGGACGAGGTAAGGAAAGAGTCTCTCCTGGAGACTTTGGAAAGAGCGCAGCTGCCCACACCTGGAACTTGGACTTCCAGCCTCCAGGATAACGAGAGGCTAAGTTTCTCTTGTTTAGAGCAAAATCCCCTACCCCACTTGGGTGGTTTGTGACGCTACCTGAGTGCCTTTGCACTGGCTGAGCCCGTGGCAGGGATTGCTCTTCTCCCGCAAAGGGATGCTGTGGGAGCCCCTCCGTTCCCACACGCCACTTCCCTGCTTTCTTTTCCTTCCCAGTATGTAGTATTCCAGCCACTAGGCCTCTCTGCCTCCTGTCAGAGCTGTTCCCAGATGGGCAGAGTTAGGACACTAGGGAAGCCGACTGGGCTCTGGTGGCTGGAGGGGCGAGACGGCCTGTGCTGGAGCCCAGCCTGGGCACGGATTTGCTGCTGCTTCCCGGTTGTGGGGAGGAGGCCATTCCTGTTTCCTCAGCCCTAACCAAGTGTGAGAGGAAGAGGTGGTGTGTGAAGCACTCTGCTGAGGGGAGGGACCAGGAACCTGCAGGACCACTTCTGTCCAGCCACCTAGGGAGGACCCTCCGGCGTGCCTGTGCAGATCCCTGCGTCCCTCCAACCCCTGTACCTGAGCTCACATCTCCTCCTCTAGGTCTCTGTGCTTCATATGGCATCCTCCTCTTTCTGTTCTTCTCTTTCTTTCTTTCTTTTGACAAAGTCTTGCTTTGTAGCCCAGGCTGGCTTTGAACTTGTGGTGATCCTCCTGCCTCAGCCTCCCAAGTTCTGGGATGACAGGTGTGCACCACCACACCCGGCTGCTCCTTGCTTTGTAAAGACAGCAGGCAGATGATACTAAGGTCCCATTCTGCTGCACCAGGACCTCTTCTTAACTTGTTACACCTGCAAGGCTGCTATTTGCCAAGGTCACCTTTGTGGTGTTGGAGGCATCAGGACACTTGTGTGTGAGTGACACTGTTCAGGGTACCCTCTCGCCTGAATGACAAACGAGGATGCCGGGTTCCTAAGGATGGTTAAACTTATAAACTCAAAATCAATGAGCACACGTAGGGACAAGTGTGACAACACACATAAGAGACCCGGGCAACTCAACACGAGGGGGCCTGGCACAGTGACGGGTTCCAAGGGGTCAGTCCTCCCCCAAATGATTCCTAGATCTGACAGAGACCAGCCACAAGCTCAGCGGGCTTTTCTGCCCAGGGCACTCAGCGAGGCTTACAACTGTGAGCCCAAATCAACCTCTCCTTTGATGTGTGGGTATCGAGTATTGTGTCCTGGCAACAAGAGAGTTCCCGAGGACAAAGATATTCTCCAACTCGTGTGCAAATCTATCGACCCAGAGCAGACAAAACAACGTGGATGGAGCAACAACAGAGAACTCATATTGCCCCGTCTCCAGGCTCCTGACACTGGAAACCGAGAGTTGGCACTGCCATGAAGACAGACAAGCTGTCTCAGTCACCATGGACTACAATAACAAAACACCACAGGCCCGGGCCTCTTAAGCCACAGATGCGGCCCTGCCTCCTAGTACTTAGCCCAGGGGAGGCCAGGGCTTCTCCACTCGACTTTGGGAGACACAGATATTCGGTCCGTAGCACTTACTGATGTGGCATTGTGTAGTCACATGGAGACTCTGCAAGGTGCCTGGGGATTTGGGACAACTGGCGCTGGGCACATGGGAGACCTAGCTAAGCAAAAGCGAATTTTGGATCTGCCTCACAGCATGCACAAATTGGGCCACGGATCCACAGGTAGGAGAGAAACTGCCAAACTTCTATGAGAAAACACCAGATAAAGTCTTGGTGGCTTGAGTTTCGTAAAGATTTCTTAGCTATGACACACAAAGCACAGCCTATAAAAATCTCAAGTCCACAAAATGGACTTCATCAAGATAGACAACTTCTGCTCATCAAAAGCCACTATTATGAAGAGGGAAACGCCCCTCTCTGACAAAGCACTCGTGCCTGGAACTTGTCCCAAGTTTATAAGGAAATCAGGCAAGGGATGAACGCACTTCATCCCAGCAGACAGCCCATGGACAAATGCTCAGCATTGTTAGTCACTAGGGAAAGGCTACCACTCCACGCCCACTGGATGGCCGAGTGAAAAGACAGCCAATCACAAGCATCAGTGAGGTTTGGAGAACCTGGACAAACACTGCTGGCAGGAACATACAGCAGGGCAACTGCTTTGGAAGACAGTTTGGTGGTTCCTCAAGAAGTGAGGCCGTCCTTGTTGGTGCAGTGGTGAGTATTCCCACCTGTCACTTGGGGCACTGGGGTTTGATTCCCCAACAGGGAGGCAGCCACCCTTTAGCCAGGTGTCACTCAGATGGCTGAGGCAAGAGGATCACTATGAGTTCAAGGCCAGCTGTCAAAAAAGAAAAACAGAAGAGTTAAGCAGTGTGGCACCTTTTGGCCCAGAAATGCCACTCCTAGCTCTGTACGCAAGAGAAATGAGAACATAGGACCACATTGAAACTCGGACACAAATGTTCATAGCAGCTTTATTTGTCACTGTCCCACCTGGAAACAATGCAGATACCATCACCAGGTATTTGGCGGTACTGTGGCCACTACTGCTGGGAGAGAGTGAACTGCAGGGTGAGCCTCAAAAGAGCTATGGCAGGAAAGCGGTCACACGGGTAGTGGGCAGACTCATTTACACAGAGCTCTAGAAAATGCAAGTTTACCTATAGTGACAGAAAGTGGAGCAGCGGTTGTGGGGATGGGGGACACAAGGCCACTTTGGGAGGTGATGGATATATTCACTGGCTTGATAGTGGGGTGGTTTTACAGGTGTACACTCCTGTCAGAACTTGCCAATTACACAGCTTACATGCATGCCGGCTGTTATATTTCTATTACATCTCCGTAAAGCTATCAAAGAAAGGTCAAAACCATCAGGAGCTCCAGACCCGCAGCAGGCCTTCATTTCCGGCCTGAAAGTTGCCAGGTGGGAGAGGACCAAGGGGAACTTTCCTGAACACCAAGGAGGCCCTGGGGCCACTGGGAAGGCCCAAGGCCTTGCTTGAACTTGAAGGTGTTCCAGAGTGAGGGTAGAAACCTCTGCAGAGCAGCTGTCCGGGAACCCTGGAGGCCTCGCTTTGTGAAGTCGAAGGTGCGCTGGGGCTGGCAAAAGATGAAACCAGCTCCAACAGCACGGTGAGTGGAGCTCACGATGAAAGCAGGTGGGACTCCCAAGCTCCTTCTCATGCGGCGGCCTTATGGGCCGGATGCTGACACTCCGAGACATCAGATCGGTATTAGATGACTACACTGTGATGCTGGCGATTGTCAAATTCAAATGCAATCATTTACAATAACTTCCTTTCCTCACTCATAGGCCAATTTTTTCACATTCTGAAAAACTGCTCCTCATCTGGAACCAACTAGAATCCAGATTTTGTGTGCGAGATTCCAGGCTCTCCACTCTGCTTCTTATTGACTTTTTAACCTGGAACTGCTTCCCCCAGCACACCACACATCCTCCCTTCTTTCCCCACATGGCCCAGCCCACGCAGTTTTCCACAGACCCCACTGGTAGCTTAAGCTTTGTGAGCTAGTTGTCCCTCAAAAGGTCCACGCAGCAGGAGGCACAGAGCCCCACTTCTGGGCAGCACAGAAGCAAGAGACAAGTGTCCTTCCCAGGCACTCCGCCTGGGTCCATGCAAAACCCGCTGTCCATGCTGCATACCTGAAAGAAAATGCAGCTCCTGATCACTTTTTAGCAAACACTGAATTGACAGGTGCTAAATTACACTGAGAACTGACAAACAAAAAGATCTGCTGTTGCTCCTTTCAGTGTCATTTACCCAGACAAATGCTGGCAATGCTGAAGCTTTTCAGGGCACTTCAGTGACATATGGGTGCGGGGGCCCACATCTCCCCTGCTGACCACTTCGTGCTGAATGTGCCTGCACACAAGGCCCCTGGGGGTACAGGATGGGGAATAAAGGTTCGAGGGTTAAAGCAAGAGTTAGTGTCTACACTGGCACCAAGGGAACGGCACACACTCGGGAGAGCTGCTGACTGCCTGGCTTAGAGGAATGGAGTCATTCACTTCCCAGTGATGAAAGGGACCCAAGAGTGGCTGGGGAGGAGGCCATAACAGCCTCCTGGTTCATGCATCTGCCCCACATGAGGACGGGCTTCCTGCATTCGTGGCAGCCCTAGCAGAGATGGTCGGAGCCTCAGAAACCCCAAGCTTCCCAATGACCTCACCAGGGACTCCAAAGATAGCATTCTTAATGCTTTCTTTTTGAGGAGAAAACCCCAACTTGCAGATACTTCGCATTGCCTCCAGGTACGTCCAGAATTGACTCCAACAGAGCCAGAGTCCAGTGGGCGACAACCCTTTCACATGTACTTGCCAGTGGCAACACTGGGCTTGGCATAGCACACAGAGCCACACATTACACACAGCTGCAGGCTACAGGGCAGGCTGATGGGCATGAAGTCGACCACAGGGCACGGGGACAGGGATCCACTAGAAGCGGCTGAGTCAAGAGCAAGTTACAAAAACACTGGAATGTTCCATTGGCTAACTTTTATATATAACATGTATATGTGTGTTTAAGTGTATCTGTGTGTGTGTGCATGCACGCGCGTGCGCGTGGGTAGCTGTGTATGAAATGCCTGGAGCTCCAAGCATCATCCTTAGAAGGAAGCCTGGATTCCCAGTCTCTCCACACTCTCCTGGTGGAGCATGTGTCCCCAGGGGGCGTCTCAATGACATCTATCACCTGCCTGCCCTCGGGGTGGCATGGGTGACAAAGCCCTGCTCTCCCTTGGTAGTGGAGAGGGCTGAAGGGAGGTGGCCAGTAGGCCGGGACGCTGGGCTGAAAGGACTAGGGGACAGATCTCCTGGTCCTCTGCGAACAGTGGCACCAGCTAGCTGTGAGCTTTTCCCAGGAGAACATCCTGGGGTTTTTGTAAAGTGCCATTTGAAGGGCTGAGGGGAAGGGGGCATTGCATTGTAGCAGGGACAGGAGGGGACAGCTTCTCAAACGTGGGCCTGGGATGGCCCCTTTTTGCCACCTGAGGTCCCTTCAGCAGATGGGGGGATTCTTATTTAAGGAGTCATTCCCTGACATATGGAAAACATCTCCACTACGTTACTCCTGAATACAAAGACATTCAAAGCAATGGCACTTTCAGTATTCTAAGAAATATCACACGGAAAGCAGCTGCCCAGTAGCTCACATTCAATTCAGGGCCACACAAGCACAAATTCTAACCTGGCTTGCTTGCCTCCTACCTGTCATTGCCACAAGGGGGCACTTCCCGAAGGGGAGGAGCAGGTAATTTTAAAGCTTCAGGCACTAAGGGGCGGGAGGGGGCAGAGGGCGCCAGGTGTAGGAAGGAGACTGAAGCTGGCAGGGTGGCGGGGGTGCCCATGTTGCCACGTCTGGCCCAGAGCCCACTCCTGTGAGACCAGAGAAAAAGGGCGTCTCTCCTCGGCTCCCACGAGATCGGGCACAGCGCCTCAAACAATCAGCAGGGGGCGCCCCGGAAGGGCGAGAGTTTTCAGCCGTTCCCCTCCCTGCACCACCGGCTGCTTCTTGCGCAGGACAGCAGGGTGCCCAGTGCCTTCCCAGGAGCAGCGGGGTGATTCCAGAGCCCCTTCCTTCCACCTGTCAGCTCTGAAAGGATTAAAGTGCTTTTAGTATATCTTCTACCCGGAAACACTAAACTCTTCAGGGAGGCAAAGGCGCCCACCCCGTGAGAGAGGGCGTGGCCAGCAACCCTTCCCACAGCTCTGCCCGCACCCGCCAGACGCACATGCGAGTGCCCTGTGCTGGCCAAGGGACGACGGGGCTGGCGGAGGAGGAGCAGCAGCTCTCCGCCAGTCATGTCTCCAAGGGTTTAGAAGGAGCGGGAAGGCTGCTCGGTCTGCAGCCAGCACTGCCCATAGGGGGACCCGGAAAGGGCGTGTGCTCCCCACCGGAGTCGCTGCCCTGTTTCTCGGCCTCAGGGCGAGGCTGGATCCTGCGGCTTCACTGGCCTCGGGACGCTGGCATGGGGGCCTCCGCTGTCGCCCCCTCCGACGGGCTGAGCTTGGGGACAGTGGCTGAGCGACGATTTCCCACTGTCCAGCTGCGCCTTGCTCTCGGAGGCCTGGTCGCAGTGCTCACACGCGTGGGGCGCCTGGCCCCCGTGGCTTCCCGAGCTGCCCTCGCTGCCCTCGCCGCCCTCGCCGCCCTCCTGGGACCGCCGCCCGGGCCCCCGCCGGCGCTTGAGCAGGAGCACGCAGCCTCGCCTGGGCCCCCTGTTGCGGCCGCGGCGCCGGGAGGGCTGCACATCGCCGTGCACCGCCTGGTGCTTGAAGAGGTTGGCCCGGCGGCCGAAGGCCTTGCCGCACTCACTGCACTCGTAGGGCTTCTCGCCGCTGTGCACCCGCAGGTGCTGGCTGAGGCCGGAGCGGCCGCGGAATGCCTTGCCGCACTCCCGGCACGTGAAGGGCTTCTCGCCGCTGTGGCTAAGCTGGTGGTGGATGAGCTGCGAGATGCCCGTGAAGGCCTTGGGGCACTGGTCGCACGCGTAGGGCTTGAAGCCGCTGTGCGTGCGCTCGTGCTCGATGAGATTGGAGCTGCGGCTGAAGGCCTTGCCGCAGTGGATGCACACGTAGGGCCGCTCGCCGCTGTGGATGCGCACGTGCTCGACCAGGGCGAAGCTGCGCCGGAACAGCTTCCCGCACTCGGCGCAGGAGAAGGGCTTTTCGCCGCTGTGGATGATCTGGTGCTTGATGAGATTGGAGCTGCGTGTGAAGGTCTTGCCGCACTCCTCGCACGCGAAAGGCTTCTCGCCGCTGTGGATGCGCTGGTGCTCCAGCAGCGCGAAGTTGCGGCGGAACAGCTTTCCGCACTCCCGGCAAGCATAGGGCTTCTCGCCGCTGTGGATGATGCGGTGCTTGATGAGGTTGGAGCTGCGGCTGAATGACTTCCCGCACTGGTGGCACAGGTACCGCTTCTCAGCACCCTTGGGATGCTGTGGCCTTGGAGCGAGACCGCGTCCCTGAGGACCTCTGTGCGCCAAAGCTCCTGCCGCCGTGGTGTCTCCCTGCTGCCTGGCCCTCCTGGCCGCCCCTGGTCTCTCGATCTTGGCATCTGCAAAGACAGAGAAGGAAACCCGTGTCACTGCTTCCTGGGGCTCCAGGGGACGCCGAGGCCGAAGTGAGATGAACCAGACCTGAGGGCCGCCAGGAGCAAGGTGATGCCAAGCAGAAAAGCATGGGGCAGGCAGCATGACCCGGAAAGAAGGGGCACAGGAGGCCAGGTGGTGGCTCACTCACCCGCCTTCGAGTGCACATCGGCCACCCAGGGCCCTTCCCCTCGCTCAAGCTGGGACACCAAGTGCGGCTTGGCAGAGGCGAGTCCTGTGCCGGGAAATGAAGCAGGGACAGAGTCACCACCGAGCACACTGCAGTCCTGACAGCCTCAGGTAACAGGGCATCATGCACAGGTGCAGGGAAAGGCCACCCCCAGCCGCATGCCCGCGAGCTGGGGAATTCCCGAAGCTGCCTGGAGAGGGTCAGCAAGAGCCCAGGAAGAGCTAGTCCTCTGCGATGGGCTGGGTCACAGAGGCGACACTCACTCCCAGGAAGCCTGAACCTGGCAGTGGGCACCACACCAGAGTCCTCAGCACCCATGCTCGGAGAGTGGAGGCAGGCACATCACAGGCGTTCCAGAGCTCTAGCCTGTGACTCTCAGCTTTGTCCTTTTTTTCTGGTACCAGGGATCAAACTCAGGACCTTGCACTTGTGAGGCAGGTGGCGGCACCACTGAGCTACATTCCCGGCCCTCAGCTTTGCCCTTTAAGTGGCAGGACAGGCTCCCCTTCTGGGTGTCCAAAAGATGGGAGGCTGGGCATGCGTTGGTGAGGGAAGCAAAAAGCTGCCTGCCCCATCCCAGTATATCTGGTGCAGGGAAGAGACACTGCTAAATTCTGTCAAGTGAGATGCATAGAAAACTCAAGTGGTTTTTGTTTGTTTGTTTGTTCTGAGGCAGGATCTTGCTCTGTAGTCTGGGCTGGCCTTGAACTCACTATGTAGCCTAGGCTGGCCTTGAACTCATGGCAATCCTCCTGCCTCAGCCTCCTGAGCGCTGGGGTGATAGGTGTGCATCATGGTGCACAACTATAAAACACAAGTGTTGTAAGTACAACCTAGGTCTGAAATAGTGCATTTAAATATTCTAGTATACCTGGGCATGGTGGTGCATGCCTGTCATTCTGGCACATAGGAGGCTGAGGCAGGAGGGTACTGTGAGTTCGAGGAGGCTCTCTCTCTCTCTCTCCACACACACACACACACACACATATATATATATATATAATCAAAAATGTATTCGCCACATTTCAGGAAAAGAAAAACTTGTATACATATTTTAATACTAAATTTATTGAGGCCTCATGAGATTCATCCAAGTTACCTTTGGCCTCTACAATGACAAGAGGTGCTCAGAGTGGTGGCCATCGGCTTCCAGACAGTTATGAGTATGGCACACTGCTGCCTGGGTAGCCTTGGACACTGAGGTTACTGCACCTGCACTTTCAGTTTCTTCTCTGAGGGCTGGCAGGGCAGTGGATTGTCTGTGATGCTTGATGAAGTCTTCTAGGGGCCCACAGATAAAAGTATCAAAATATTTATACAAGTTTTTCTTTTCCTGAAGCTTGTATACATTTTTTGGGCAGACTGTGTGTGTGTGTATGTGTGTGTGTGTCCCACTATAATTGACACTTTTAAGTAGAAAGATGTTTGGTCAGCCTACAAATTCATATGCAAAATTAGTACAGACTCACGCATTTACCTCAACGTTTACAGATCCCAACCATTTGACATCAGCTGAAAACTCCCACTGACACAATGGCGGCCCCACAAGGGATTGCTGCTGGAGGGACACAGCTATGCTTGCGCTCAGTGTAACCAACAAACCAGGAAAGTCAGAAATAAATGGAGCCCAGACTTAGCAGGTGGGCCTGGGTGTGCGCTCAGTGGGTCACTTACCCAGTGATGCCAAGTTACTGTAGTTCTCCAGCATCACCTGTTTGTAGAGAGCTTTTTGTTTGAAGTCCAGAAACTTCCATTCTGCCTTCGTGAAGTACACAGACACATCCTCGAAAGATATCTGTACCTGCAATATGCCATTCCTGTGGCTGTCACGGATTTGAGCCCCGGGTTCCCAGAGGGGTAGCAGCCATGAGTCACAGGGTCCCCCCACCCCCAGGAGAGCCAGCCGCGCACTAGCAGGGCAGAGGAGTCTGGGGCTGCTCACCTTGGGCCTCGCCCACAGGAGGATCCCCGCCATCACCAGTCGGGCACCCTGGGGAAGCAGGCAAGAGTCAAAAGCAGCCAGGAAGGCCAGTGTCGGCGAGTGGCCTTTCCCTGGGGGCTCAGGCTCAGCGCCCTGCGTCCCCCAGAGCCCAGGCCTCCGTGTAGGGCCAGCTGATGGGCTCTGTCCTTCCTGTGGCCTCCCTGAGGCCACAGACCGTCCCTCCTCCTGTGTGCTTTCCTGGGCCTGCGGGGAGGAACAGAGCCTGCTGGGGGGCTCGGATCCTCACACCCATCCTCTCTGCTTCCGGTCAGAGCCTGGGGCCCCCTCCCTGGCCCTTCTGGCTCCTGGCACTCGCCGCCTGCCCTCCGTGTGCCTGGCTCCAGGTTTCCCTCACCTCGCCTCGCAGAACACCAGTGCTTGGGTGAGGCCGGACTTCATCTTACCTGCAGCACCTGCGGAGACCCGGGCTCCTGTGGGGTGGGGCTTCAGTGTAGCCTTGGGGGCTGCATTGCAGCCCCCAGCACTGAGGGCTCCTGAGCCCTCTTCTGTCCGTGAAATCAGCCAGGATCCTACATCCACTTTTCCCACCAGGGCCTGCCTGACCCGCCTTTCCAGGGAGCCTGTTCTTTCTTGTCTCCACTCCCCATTTCCTTCTTTTCTTAGCTCTCTTTCCATCTGCCCAGCACCCCGGACCCCAGCTTTCCAGCCTTTCACTCCCCTCGGGGGTGAGTTCCTATAGAAGAGTCCAAGCATGCATGTGCAGAGGATTGGTTGGTGTGGTGCCCAGGGTAGGAGGGATCTACAGGAGGGTGCAGAGTGCTCTCTCATAGGGTGGCACTCTGGTTGAGGGGCAGGCCAAGGGCACATGCCCTGGCCTTCGGTCAGGCTGAGCTTGATGCTCATGATGCTAAAGATGGGAGGATGGGCCCAGAAGATGGGACCAAGTGGGGACAGCAGGGAATCGGCCTCACACGAAGGGCAGAAAGAGCATGGCATAGACAAAGTGGACAAAACCATCTTGGCCTCAGACTTCCCCATGTCCTTTTTCAATGCCAGGAACATTGACAGGGGAAGGAACATTGACTCCAAGAATGCCATTTCTGTCCAACAGGAGACCAACGACAGGGAAGTCCCTGATGGAGGAACAGAGCAGCAGGCAACAGCTGCTAGGGGAAGTGGCTCAAGGGAGTGCTGACTCTTGTTTTGATGGGGCATTACACCTCGTTTGTGTCAAGGCCAAGGCTGCAGGAGAGAGTGAGGGGGACAGGGCCCTGGGAGCATGGAGACAGCTGTCATATTCACCCGGGATTTAAATCACCTCAAATCCCTTGTCGGCTATGGTGACCAAGAATGGAGTCATGCTTCTGGTGGAGAAGTTTATATGAAGCAGAAAAAAGGATCCCCGAGTGGTGGAATGGATCCTAGAACCATTAGGTGAAAGACCAAGGGAGAGCAGGACATCACACATCACAGTGTCATGCACTGGTCCTTTGCTGGTCATACTCAAGGAGCCCATGCTGACCATGGAGCAGAGGGTGGGACAGATGACAGGAGGATGGCAACTATGTGGCCAGCAGGGTACTGCTGGTGTGGATGGGCGAGGTGGAGGATGGCACTGGCTCATGGAAGAACATGTCCCCTTAAAATGCACACTGAAGCACACTAGCAGGAAAGGGTCTGCAACTCTCTTGAAATGTTCCAGGAAAACCCAGACACTATACCAGGAGGAAGAGACCACAGGCGGAAGCGACCTGGGTCTTTACCTGTCTGCACCCCAGCAGTAGTTGCTATGGTGTGGATCCCAAATGTCCCCCACTCAAAGGCTTGGTCCCCAGGGTGGTGGAGAGGTTTTCAGGTCCCCGAGGATGGCCCTTCCTTTCTTTCTGCCATCCCTCCACCATGTCCCAATGTTTGCCTGTTCTCTGGTGTCCGGCCACAGGCCCAAGCTGCAGGGCCGACAAGGCACAGGCTGGGTGCTCCAATCCTCTTTACAGGTTGATTATCTCAGATATTTTGCTATAGTAACAGAAAGCTGACTAACAGTGTTCATAATGAAAAGGAAAAAATGGTGGAAACCATTTGGGTGATTCCTCAGTGAGTCAAGCATAGACTTCAACATGACGCAGCAGTTCTACTCCTGAGTATACACTCAGGAAGAATTGAAAATAGGTGTTCACACAAACATGTGCACACTCATGGTCGTAATAGTCAAGAGGTGGAAACAGCCCAAATGTCCATCTCAGATGAACAGAGAAACCAAGTGTGATCTATATAAACGATGGAATATTACTTGGCCATAAAAAGGAAGGAAATTGCGACACAGGCTACAGTGTGCATGAACCCTAGGGACTTTTCACTCAAGTGAAAAAGCCAGACACAGACACAAAAGGCCACATCTTGTAGGATGTAGGATTCCACTTCTATGATGTAACATCATGTTTCACAAGAGCTGTTTTGACCTAGTTTTCCAGTTGTGGCTGAACGTCCCTTGTCCCTGTCCTTCATAGGCAGTTTGCTGGGCCCCCATTCCCCTACTTCTTTCGTCAGGGTCACAGTCCTCAGCCTACTAAACACACAGCCACTTGACTCCTTACTGGGTCCCACACTCCAAGGCCAGCTGACAGATGAGGGACAGCCCCGAAGACCCAGAGCCCATGTCATTGTTCACATTTGCCACCCCACTCACTGGCTCTGCATAATCTGTCCTTACAGCTCCAGCTTGCTGCCATCCTGTCCCCAAGCGTAACTCCTTGTGTGGCCCCACAGGGCACTCTTCCCATGCTCAGAGCTACAAGTAACAAGAGTTCTGTCTTTCGGGCATCTCAGCATCACTGTGTGCTGAGTGGCCATTCAAAAAAGCCCTTTAAATCTTAGAAAATACATGGCATGTCCGGAAGAAGTAAATCCATCATGTCAAAAGCCCACCAGTAGGGGAGGGGCTGGTGGACATCAAGTGACTGCTGAGGGGATGGAGTGTTCCGGAGCTGGATGGAGGCCGTGGTGGCTGGGACGGTCTTGTCTCCCATCCCCCGTGGGATCCCCAAACAGTCGGCCTGCAGGCATGGGCTGGAGTCGGAGAGCAGAAGACCCAGCGGAGGTGCAGGGGCCACGCCGCAGGGTCTGTCCTGAGACTGACCCCCCGAAAGTCAGCCTTATGGCAACTCCTGCCAAGACTCCCTGGCCCTCGTGGGCCGCCACAGCCCAGGGCAAGCTGAAGGGTGAGCTGGGCCTGAAGCTCAGGCTGGCAGCAACCTGCCTCTGGGCACGAGGGGCAAAAGGTCATGAGACCTGCACTCGAGGAGAAGCCAGGAAGGCCCAGCAGCCTGTGTCGCGGTGGGCCCAGCTCACAGTGGGCCTGGGGGCGCCAGGCAGCCTCAGCAGGGGTGTGGAGGGGAAGAGGTGTGGGGGGGGAGCCCTCCCAGGGAGCGAAGCAAAGGGGGAGCCTGCCCACGCCTCGGTGCCGTCCTGCTTGGGGACCACTAGGTGGGGTGCATTCCCCGGAAGAAAAAACAACCCAGAAACCAAACAAAGTCACACAGCCTTCAGGACCCTGGCTAGCCTTGGGGATCAGGAATTGGGGGCCTTTCCCTCAAAAGGACGGACAGGCAGGGACACTTTGGGTGGAACTTCCTGTGGGGTCCAGCAGCCTGAGGCCCAGCTGCTCCGGCCCAGAGGCCCTATTACCTGCCATCTCCTGGTGGATGGCCTGGGAGGGGGATCCCCAGGGGGCCCCTCAGCCCACCCAGGACTGGGTAGGCCCCCTGCAAACTGCTTTCTCCAGGCCTTTCCTGAGGGGACAGAGGCTGACCTGGATATCCAGAGGGCCGCCCAGGCTGTCGGCCAAGGGATCCTTCTTCCCTCATCACTGGGAGTAAAGCCACGGGCCCTTCCTGACCTCGCCCAGCCCTGCCCTGCCCTCTGCTCCTGAAGTGCTGGCTTCCACAGAGCCAGGCTGCTCCTGCCTCAGCACCTTGGCACAGCTGTTCCCTCTGCCTGGAGTGCACTTCCAAAACATTAGCACATGCTGTGCTCTTTTGCCAACTTCCAGTGTTTGCAGAAACCGAGCCTTTGAAATGAGATCTATTCTAAGCGTACTACTTGACTTGGAACTGGACCTCCCTTCCCTGCCTCTTCTCATTGTTTGACATATTCTCTAATTTCTCATTTAAAACACTGTTTATTGCCTGTGCTTTGCCACTTGAGCTAGAACCACAGAGCACATTTTTTGCTGCCTCTTCCCAAATAGATCTTGGATGTCAGCAGCAACCCAGTGCCTAGAGGGCACCCAGCAGATACTGGGTGGACTGAAGCAGGCAGAACTAGCCCTGTAGGGAAGGCTTGTTCCCTCTTGTCCCTTCCCCATCTTCCATCCAGCCCTTCCCCTCCTCTTCCCAGCCTTGGTTGAGCTTCGCCTTGTATCAACATGTGCCTCAGAGGGCCACCACCCTAACCCCGATCACAGCTGCAGGGGCACAATGTGGGGCACGACCAGGGCCTGAGCCTGTGGAAGTCTGCTAGGGCCCCCCTGAGAACAGTGCCATGACCTCACAACGGCAGCTTGCCTGGCGTTTCCATTCCCAACTTCCCGGGGGCATCAGGATGGGCCACTCCGTGCCAGCGCCAGGACTAGCGGCTGAAAGCAACCAGACGAGAGCAACCAGGAAGCTCGTGCCCAGCCCAGGAGGCCCCTTTCCGTGGCGCCCCTACAGCCAGCCCAGCTGCTCTCCCTGCTTGCCTGCCTCCCAGGGCGTCCTCAACTGTTGCCACTGTCCCTGCCCCATGGACCCTCTGGGCCACCTGTGCCCGCCCTTCCGCACCCCTGCCGAGAGGGGCTCCCCGCGTCCCCACCGGGGCCGGTGTACCTGGGCTCCTCAGGCGGCCGGTGCTGCCGGCCTCCCCTCCCGCCCTCTGGCAGGCCTGAGGCCAAGGCCACCGCCTCCGAGAAGCCCTCGGGGGCGGCGTCCCCAGGAGGCAGGCCGGGTGGGGTTCCCAGCCTGTCCGGCCTTGCGTCCGGCACCGCTGGCTTGGAGGCCGTGCTGCGCGGCTGTCGTCGATCCCGCGGGCCGCGCTGCGGAGCGGGACCGCGAGCGAGCGGGCGGGGCTGGGGCGGCTGCGGCGTGGGAACGGGGCGCGAGGGGGGGAGCACGGAGCATGCGCGGCGCGGCCGGAGGGCGGCCCGGCCCGCGCCAGCCCCACTGGGGCTTCTGGCCTCGCTCACCACGGACCCCGGGGCACTTCCGCTTCCCGTCTGCGCTGCTCCGAGGACTTGGACTTGGGTCTCAGTGGTCTCGGGGCTGCAGTCCCTGAAGAGGACAGGGGAGGGGCCAGGGTTGGCTGAGCACTTCCCTTGGGCCATGCCCCTGGGCGTTACGTCCATCCTTGCATCTGCCCATCCCCCGGAGGCCCTTGGGGACCCTGTGGGGTGTTAGCACCAAGTGGCAGGGCCATGGTCACCTAGTAAAGCACCAGCTTGCATACACCGGGAGGGCAAGGCTCAGCAAGTGGGGGATGTGAGACGGGACATGGGGGATAGATACAGCTGGAGGGGACAAGGGGGCAGGAAGTGCAAGAAGAAAAGACGTGGGTTCGAGACGCAGGGACGTGGAAGCCGGCCCCAGAGAGGGCACTGGGTTGCCACTTTCTGACAGGTAGTGATCCGAGGTGGATCCAGGCTGGACTCCCAGGGCTGTCTTGACAATGATGAGCTCCTTGAGGAAAATCGAGGAGGAGGAAGAAACTTCCAAGGAGGATAACAAGGAGAAACAGCTGTCTTGCCTGTCCCCACCCTGCCCTCCCAGGCTTGGCTGTGCCAGGTGGGCTCTGAGCCAGACCTTCCCTTACAAGACTCCCCAGGCTCCTGTCTGGTCCTCAGGGGACCCTGGGCCTGAGCAGCACAGCCTGGCCTTCAGCATGGAGCTAGTGCTGGCCTACGCTCCCAGGACAAAGCAGCCTGTTCCTGCCTGGCCCAGGTAATGGGGCGGGTGAGGGGGGCCTGGACGCCCTTCAGTGGGCTTCTTTCCAGCTGTGGGGAGCACAGGTCTCAGCTTCGGCCCTGCCCTGCAGCAGAGGCAGGGAGGCCCCCGGGGACCCTGAGCTGTGGACCCTGGTGCCTGAGGGGTCCCCTTGTTGGGGCCTTGGCTGGGCAGGCCCAGGCCTGGGCTCCTGGATGTAGTGGGGTGAGGGGGCCTCTGAAAGGTACATCTGCATCCTCACACCCAGCCCCTGTGAAAGGGCCCTTATAGGACAGGGGTTGTAGCAGAGTGAAGGATATGGAGAAGATGCCCGACCTTGTCTGGGTGGCCCTAGCCCCAAGGACAGGCTCCCCTAAGGACAGGAGAGAGACACGCAGACCAAGGTTGGGGGACGGATCTTGGCAAGGCCAGCCCCTTCAACCCGGGGACCGGGCGCTCCCTGTCTGCATCCACTGTGCGGGCTGGTTGTGGCCGGGGCTCTCATCTAGCACAACTCTGAAAGTGGGGGAGCAGGAGCCCGTGTGTGCCACCATCTGCAGCCACTTGGGGTGACCCTGTGGATCTGCGGTAGCCAGCCTGCAGTGCCTATCAGCACCTGTCACAACTGAAGCCAAACCAAGGGGACGTGGACAAAGCCATAGCTGTATGGAGTGAATAGGCTCTTTCTAGAAGCTGTTCAGTGTTTGAGCAGGGAGAAATTCCAACCTGTGGCTATCTTTGGAGGAGTGCCCAGGACCCACTGTCACCTCCCACCGTGACCCTGGTGTGGCCACCTCGCCTCACCTCTCTTGTGGGCCTCCTGCCCTTACTTTGGTCAAGAAGCCCAGGACCTTCTCTGAGAGAGATGGCCTCACCCCTATAGGCAAGGCAGGACAGATCATTTGCCAGAAGGAAGGGGACCAAGAGATACAGGGTGAGGAGAGGGAGGGGAGGGAGAGGAGACATAAAAGAATGAAGATGTGTTGTTTACATGTACTGAGTCTTCATGATGAATGTAATTGTTATGTGCTGCAAACGTGGACTAATAAAAATAAAATTTAAAGAGATAAACTCCCAGCTTTAATCTTCTGCATATAGACAGTCAGTTTTCCCAGCACCATTTGTTAAATAGACTATCTTTCCTTCAGCGTATGTTTTTAATCCCTGTCAAAGGTCAGATAGCAGAATATGTCAGAGAATGTTTCTGTATCCTCTGTTCTGTTCCACTGATCCACATGAGTTATGGTTTATGTCTAGATGTCCCCCTAAAGCCTCATTCATGAGCTCATAGGTGGTGCTTTTGGGAGGTGACTGGATCGTAGGTGTGTGATACTGGATTAGTCCACTGATGGGTTTATATCTGGGAGCGATGATCCCTCTTCCCTTGCTGGCTGCTGCTTCCTGCCCACCTTGCTCCTTTGCCATGGTGCCCTGCCTTGGAACCAGCTGACTATGGACTGACACCTCTACAAACTATAAGCCAAACTAGACTTCTTTAAATTGTGGGTGTCAGGTCTTGTGTCAGAGACGAGAAAGTAACTAAGACAAGTCTATTTTGTGGCAGTACCATACTGTTTTTATCACTGTAGCATTGTAGTATAACTTAAAGTCCAGGAATGTGATGTCCCCTGCCTTGCCCTTGTTGCCCAGGATGCCTTGTACTATTCTGGGTGTCCATGTAATTTTAGGATTCCTTTTTCTAGTTCTGTAAGGAATGCTGTGGTATTTTGATTGTGATTGTCTTGAATTTATATAACAGTTTTGAGAGTATGGCCATTTTGACAATATTTGTTCTGCCTATCCAGGAACAGGGGACATCTTTCCATTTTCTGTTCTCCTCTTCAGTCTCTTTTTTCAGAGTGCTATAGTTTGACTTAGCTGTGGTGAGAAAGGAACACCTCCCTGTTGGTGGAAATGTAGCCTAGTACATCCATTATGGAAATCAATATGGAGATTTCTCAAAGAACTAAAATTAGAAATTCCAATGACCCAGCTGTTCCCCTTCTAAGTATCTTCCCAAAAGAGCTAAAGACATCATATTACACCAATACATGCATAGCAGTGTTTATAGCAGCACAATCCATAATGGCTAAATTCTGGAAGCAGCCTGTATGACCATCAACAAATGAATGGATGAAAAAATGTGGTATCCATACATAATGGGATACTACTTGGCTATAAAGAAGGATAAATTTGAGACATTTGTAGGAAAATGGATGCACCTGAAAATATAATATTAAGTGAAACAAATCAGATACACAAGCCTAAATACCGTGTGGTATCTCTCATTTGAGTAGGGCAAAGTATAAACAAAGAGCAAAACGAAGGACTCCTGGAAGGAAACAGGGAGGTAAGTCTTTGCTCTTTGTCTAGGAGCTTTTAAGGGGAGCTTGGGCTTTTGCGTAAGAAATAGAGTCTCTGCCCTAGAGGAGACTACGCACTTTTCAGGTCCAATCTATGCACTGTTTATGCAGTGTCCACGTGTGGCCTACGTGTCTTGGAGTCCATTGTCGCCTGAGCATGCTGTGGGGGCCAGGGGCCGGTGTGGTGTGTGTGTGTGTGTGTGTGTGTTCCAGACAGCTAAGGACAGTGGAAGATGTTTATGTGAGGTCCCTGGAGGTTGGGATTCAGCAGACTCCATTTTGGGGTTGCGGTCCTCACTGCCTAATAGAGCCCTAACTCCTGATTCACTAGTTCTCGTTACATTCCCGCCTCTGAAGAGGTGATACTACCTGCCATCAGGGAAAAGGGACAATGAATAATCTAGCTGCTGGTGGTGAGAATGGGTCAGCAGCCAGGAGCAGCCTCCGGAGGCTTGCCCAGTGGCCTGTGATAGATGGCAGGTGGGAGCTCCTGGGTGGGCCTTATCTTCACGGCCATCTGAAGTTTCGCATGTGCAAGACAGGGCCATCATAGTTCATGTGTCCCGCTGCCAGGCAGATCTGATTTGAATTTGAATGTCCCACCACCTTGAACCACCAGAGATGGGGCATGACTGTCAGAAAAAATGGGTGCCACTGTGGCCACAAAAAAGCCAAGTGTGTAATGACATTCTGCGCACTCTGCTCAAATAAGCTGCCTTTATGTAAATGATGTTTTAAAGAAATTGACAAATATAAATGAATTTCTTTGAATTTAATGAAATAAATTTGTTGAGTATTGTAATAATTTTTAAATTGCTATGAATAGTATTAATTAATATTTATATTTGGGCAATAATTATTTAATTCAAGCAACTAATTAGATTCGGCCCATTTATAGATTTCGTATTAATTTTAGTAGTCAAAAGAACTATAAAAGTGATTAGAGGGGCTGGGGATTTAGCTCAGTGGTTTTGCCACCTGCTGCACAAGTGCAAGGACCCAAGTTCAATCCCTGGTACGCCCCCCCCCCAAAAAAAAGTGATTAGATCTGTTTGTACCATTAGTGGGACAAACCACCCGATGGGACAGACATGCATGTGGCACTAATGGTCTAAGGCAGCGGGAACGTGCTGGTAGACTCTAGGTGAGAGGATAGTCAATGAGGAGGCTGAGTAAGCAGGGTCTGACAATGTAGGGAGGAGCGAGAGCAGTGGCTGGTATGAAGGGTCCCCAAAGGGTCCAGGCCACACCCATAGGGATTTAAAGAGGGAGACTTAACTGGGACCCCTTCAGAGACCTTCTGAGCCTAGGCTGGGTGAGAGATGGTTCTATGAAGTCCAGATTAGGGATGGATTTCGATGTTGGGAAGGTGGTTTGGTTAAAGAATCAGAAGTCAGGGAGGGCACTGGCAACAGTTTATCTCCCCTCTGTGAGGGAGGCACAGCCTGAGTTTCCCATAGGGAAGTAGAGGCCAGTTCCTGCAAGGGAGACAGGGGTGGTTTTGGCCCGTAGCCAGGCAGACTTCAAGGTAGACTGTCAGCCTAAGCCAGTGCGGAGATTCCAGGGTCTCAGGGTGACCATGGGCCTGTGGAGGAAGGTCTGGCTGCAGAAAACCAGCCATTTATGCCCAGAGGGGGTTCGCCAGTGGTATGGTTGTGGGTGGGGGACTACACATGTAACGTGTTGGGTTGAGGAGAGTGAAAAGAGAAAACCTAGAGACAAGGTAATGTCCTGTCTCATTGAGTACAAGGCCCAAACACTGGGAAAGATCACCCCCGGGGTCATTTACTTT